GCAAGGAACATTAATGATGGAACTCTCGTTATCAGTTTTCTTCATGAGTTGTAGTGGAAACCTTGCTTTTCTTTCCTGTTCAGCCAAAGACTGGAGTTGCAGCTTTACAATCTCTTGTTTATCAAAGTTGGCTAATTGCTTTGATTTAAACATATTAAATCGGGTCATTCTGGAAGACTGCTCTGTGGAACCCATGCTGATCTCAGTCTTGCACATCAATTGCAGCTTCTTTGTTGGTTTCCTGATTTACGCGAGTGAATCTAATTCTGTGGAGGCTGACCAAAGAGTGGTCACTTGAAGAATTGATCTCTCTCTTCTCTCTCTCTCTCTCTCTCTCTCTCACACACACACACACACACACACACACACTAGTTTGATGTGTAGACAAATGCTTTCTCCTGATAGAAACTGGCAAGAACAACACTATCATGGCACTTAAATAATAATTCATCTTCATCTATTATGACTAAAATTATGTCAGAAATAGTATAGGGAGGAAAAATCTGCAAAGTATAATTTTTACTTGTCATAGTGAAAAATAATCTCATTAGTGCAATTCTTTACTACATTTACAATTGATATAAAAATGTGTTAAGATAATAACTTTTAAAATTCCCAAAGAACAGTATTCTCCAAGAGGAGGAAAGCAGCAAGCAGATTTTTAATAAGAGAATCAGAAGCTGTCTCTAAAGAGGGTGGTTATCTTATTTTATGTATTTGTAATTTTTATTAGTTGGCCATCTTACACCAAGATAAGTCTGGGTGGCTTATGGGATAATTAATTATTAATCTTTAATCATTTCATTATTGTGGATATATACTAAATTGGGGCCTAGATATAAACTATAATCAGTGAATGTCTTGCAATATTGATTATATTACTAGTACAATGGTAATAAAGTTAGTGACCCAATCCAGAGTAAGAGATTTTATCCTTTTAGTTTCATTTCAATGTTGTCTATGCAAATTATAGCTTGCCTTGGCACCCAAATAGAATTTTTTTTGCTTGCATTTGATCTTTAAAACTTAACCACTTCAAAGCACTGTGATTTGATGTGCAAGTGCACAAACTGACTTACCAACTCAGTCAAGATGGCTTGGGGCACAACATCAGAGAAGGACTTGGCCGTGCTCATCGACAGCAAGCTGAAAAAGAGCATCTGCTAACACAGTTCTGGGGTGCATCAGAACACCCCTCTATTCATATAGAATATTGTAAATGATTCTGAACACCATATTTCCAAAGAGATATTGTTAGATTAAAATAGGTTCAAAAGAAGGCAAAATTTAATTCAGAAAGGTGAGAATAAGCCCTATTGTGAGGACATTTTGAAGGAACTTGGGATATTTCATCTAGAGAAAAGAAGACTAAGGGGAGAGATGGTATTTTTGTTCAGTAATATAAAAGGGACTCATAAGAGAAGATAGCGAGAAACTATCTTCCATTGCCATATAAACTAATACCAAAAATATTGCTTGTCAGTGCAGATACAAAGTTTTAAATACAAGGGGAAAGTTACTGTTAAGATCAGTACAGCAGTGGAAAAGTCTACCCATGGTAGCTGTAGATTCTCTACTTCTGGAGTGTTTTTTATTTTTCAAAAGCGCCTGGAGAGCCATCTCTCACATATAGTTTAGTCCCGTCCCCCTCCCCCCCCATTGCAAAAGGTTGAACTAGTTGATCTTTGGGTCTATTCCAACTTTACAGTTCTTTCATTTTGAGATTCTGTGCATCTGCATTCTTACCATTTTTTCAATATTCTTACAGCATTGGCTATTGGTTATTTTTTTCTTCAGTACTAGTTTGTATAGCATTTATTTTGCTTCATTGTTTTATAACTGATAAAATAAACATAAATTCTTAAACAAATTTCCAAATACTTTCTCCAACATCAGTTTTATCCCAGATCATTTTATAACCTTGAAATTCCAATAATTCCAATTTTATCCCTCTTCACTCAGTTCTGAAACAATTTCATATTTCCATTAAAATCATTCTGTTTCATTGTCTTTTAATCTTAACTGTTCCTTTGATTACATTATTTTTAACTATGCAGCAATTACTCTTGTTCCATACACAGCCTCTTCCATTTCATACTTCTTTCAAGGATCCTTTCTCATTTTTTCCATGTAACTTGAGATATGCCCTTACTATAAGAAGCACTCATGAAACAGATCACCATCCTCATTTGTTGTAGGCTCCCCAAATGGCCCGGTCACTTTGCTTTCTTGTCTTTGTCCATTCATGTCCCATCACAGAATCATTATTTCCTTTGAGTTACAATTGTTCAGAACTTTCCCCCAAACTCATCTCAGCTTCTCCCATCAAGACATTTCCCTGAAGTATAATACACAGCTATCACCAATCTATTAATTTTATTTTCACACATGCTATAACATCCTAAATAGAAATTATTGACCTATATTACAGCTCTGTCATTCATTATTACACTATATGTAATCCTCAAGTTAAAACCACAGTTGAACCCAAAATTTATGCTGCTAAGTGAAACATACGGTGATTTTTGCCCCATTGTATGATTTTTCCTGCCATAATTGTTGTGAATCATTGCATTTGTTAAGTTAGTAACATGGTTAAGTGAATCTGGATTCCCCATTGACTTTGCTTGTCAGAAGGTCTCAAAAGCTGATCACGTGACCCCAGGTCACTGTTACCATCATAAATATGAACCAGTTGCCAAGCATCTGAAATTTGATCATTAACCATGGGGATGCTGCAATGATTGTAAGTGTGAAAAATGGTCATAAGTCACTTTTTTCGGTGCCTTTGAACAGTTACTAAATGAACTGTTGTAAGTCGAGGACTACTTGTATAGGTTTACTTTTCTGCATGTAATATACAGTGGTGGGCTGCTACTGATTCAGACCGGCTTGCCTGTACCGGTAGTTCTGGCCACCGGCTGAGCCTGCCTACCCACCCAGTGCTATCCTGTTCTATATATCCAGCTTGCTTGCCCCCGCGCATGCAGCCCAGCTAAGTTTTTGCACCCCGCCCACTCTGCTCACTGCGGCTGCTGCGCGCAGGAAATCTCCAGTTTTTTCAGCTGTGTGCAAGTGCAGATGGTGCACACGCTCACATTTTTGGTTCTGCACTAGGCAAACCAGTTGTTACAGTCTGTGCAACCCACCTCTCTACATAGAAGTATTTTTCATTCCATTTCTTAATTCATGCTCTGTCATTTACTCCTTACATTTTAATTTACACTGTTTTATATGGCACAGTTGGCACTAAGTCACAGACATTTGTTTCTTTCACTCTTCATGATTGGCTCAATTAAGGTTTTCCCATAATGCTTTTTTGTAAGTTGGAGTTGATTGCCAGCTGTAGTTGAAGCTGTGCCACATGTAGTATTCCCTGCTTAACAATTAGAACAGGAGTGGTCAGCCTGAGCGTGTATTGGCCAAAATATCACTTGTGCAACCAGAGCCCAGCATGCTCATAGTTTCATGCAAGATAGAATCTAAATTTTAACAATAGCAAGTTTTATCATAAACTAGGTTATCAGAGTTTATTGTTTGGTGGACGGTTACAGTTAAAAATCCACATCAAGAGTAAAGGATAATTTTAAAATTTTAAATTACCAGACCCTTCAAATCTTAACATCACTTTTAGTTGACATTTTGTTGCAACTTTTTTGGCAAAAATCTTTGCCATAATTATTATTTCATAATTTATTTTTATGCTACTTCTATCTTCAATTTGATTGCTTGTTATGCTAGTTCTTATCTTTGATAAAACATGTAACATAGACAATACTCTTAAGCAAGATTAGAAAAATCATCAGAGACAACTTCTAGAAATAAAAAGTGATTCTCCCTTCTCACCCTGTATCATGTATGACTTACTCAGTAGGTCCTCTGATCTTCTAAGGAGGTCTGTGAGAGGATTGGGAGGAGCAGAACAGAGAGCCAAGTTCCACCAGTTACTTTGCATAAGGTTTTCTGTAGGAAAAAAATGCAGTTGATTTTACCTGTAAATAAATGCAAAATGTATTATTTTTGTAATGTTAAATCTAATTGCGTGCAGAACTGCTGTAATTAATTTATTATCAAAAGCAGCCCTCACTTAACCACAACTGGGACTGGAATCTTGGCCATTAAGTGAGACATTTGACTATTCGCATGACTGCTTTGTTCAATTACTGCACTCCTGGCTGTGGTCTTTAAGTGATTGCATTGTTCATTAAGCAGACTGTAGTCCCAGGATGTCTCTGGCAGAGAGAGATGTCTCAGAAGCTGAAAATCTTTCCCACTGAAATCCTGAGGAAGAGACACTCATGTGCAGCCTGTGCCAAGTCTCACCCCCCAGTCACCCAGTGTTCTTTATGTAACTGTGCTGCCACACTCCTTGAGCTGAAACAATTGCTTGGATTTTGTCTTCCTTTCATCTCTACGGGTTGGTTGAAAAAACTGCCTATCAAAGGATATCCGCTCTTTCCCATCCTAGAAGAGAATTCCTTCCATGAGGTGCAGAAACTGAGCTTAAATCATCAAAAAGGATATCAGTTCTCACTATGTGTGAAAGGAATGTTTTCGATGGGGTGCAGGAATGGAGTCTGATCTTTAGGGAGTTTGGTTTCTTCACCCCACAGAATGAGTTTAGCTTTCCTCAGTCAGCCTCATAAACCAAAGAGAGTCCTCTAGACAAGTGGTAGAGAAGATTGCAAATGGCAATCACATGATTGCAGGACCTTACCCTCTTAAGTGTGAACAGCTTGCTCAGCACCCAGATCACAATCATGTCACTTGGGGAGGAAGGTGGTGCAACCTTTTGTGATGACCTGTAAAGCATCCTTTCCTACACTATCGTAAGTTTGAACATCATTAAGCAATCAATCATAAACTCAAGACTACTTCTATGTAAATGAAAAAGTTCTAATATAACATAAAATAATAACTAATAAATATCTGTTTATTGTTTTTATAATAAATATTCTTTATTTGTTACATGTGAATGATGATGATCATGATTATTACAGATAACTAAATGACAATGGAATCTGGTGCAGAGAACCAACAGAGTGGAGATGCAGCTGTTACAGAGGCAGAAAATCAACAGATGACTGTTCAGGCACAACCACAAATTGCAACATTGGCCCAGGTACAGATTTGTACAGACTGATTTATTTCCCATCTGTGGGATCTACAAAATCTTGCATTGATGAGCAAATTGGAAATTTTGAGACATTTTCCTGGCATTTTCAAAGGAGATTAATGGTCGGATACCCATTTACAAAATTACTGCCATAGTGAAATGACACATTTTAAAGCACTAAAGTTATTTTAAATACATTTTATGTGTATATTTTAGAATCAGTGGATTTTTCTTAAAAAAAAATTAAAACAAATCAATTGTAGAACCTTAAAACTCTTAAAATAATAAAATCCCCATTTTGTTCGTTTGGAAACATGGCTGCATAAATCTGAGAATGTTTTAGCTTGTAACATTTTATGCATCTGGGTGAAGCATGAATGTACCAAAATATTATCTGCCAACCTATGTAGTCTCCTCTACATAGTTTTATTCTTTTCCAGGTATGTAGGCATATTTCAGATTAAAGCTGTTTACCATTTTATGGGATCTATTTGATGCTAAGAGGTAGTTTTGGAAATAAAAATGAGCATGTATGCTGGCAATTTGCTTTACAGCATTCCTTTTTTAAAAAAGTCAGGTGCAATAAGAAATCTGCTAGTTGCCCTGTAGTGTTTAATGCCACACTGTAGATTCAAGAAGTAATTTTGGTGGAGCTATTAAGTTAATTTTGTGGTCAAATGATTATCCAATTAAATTTTAAATAAATTAAAAACAGTTGTTCTCTTCATAGTTGTAACAATCAGAACAATATTTATATAAATTTGCTGATATAAATGATATAAGGGGTAACAGATTGGACTAGCAAGGGGTAGAAGGAAAATTTAGAGTGGGAAAATGCAGAGTATTATATACAGCTGCTAGACTTACTATACCTTCTGTTAGAGAAATAATCTGATTCCATTAACCATTACTAGTATTATTCATTTTCATAGCACTTTATATGATTATCCTTTTTTCTTTTCACTGAGTATGGCTAGCAAATGGATCAAATGTAAGAATAGTAAATTGTTCAAAAGTACATTGCACAATCTGATAGTGAAGATTTACATGAAAAATATAATAGATTTTGGGGGATTTGAAAGTAAAATATTCACTGGTTTGCAGTTAACTTGAAAAGTTAGTACAAAATCTGCACAAAGCAAGAGTATTGCCACCTTGGATGTTTCTTTCTGAGATAAAACTAAAATGATGGCTTCTGATTCATCATGAACAATATGCGCATTCACAATTCCTGCAGGACCCTGTAATCTGTCTCAAATAGGTGGTAATTTTTTTGCATATAGTAAGTTTCATAATTTTGTATATCTAGCTACATGAAGTTTATGATACTAACTACATCAAAGGAAAGCCAATATAATTGATTGTAGGTGTATATTTCCAGGTTTCTTGCAAAAGCTAATCATTGCTAATTTTATCTGGGTGGTTCAAATATTGCATCCAAATATATCTGCTTAACAAAGTCTGACTGTATGACTAGAATAGAATTTTAACTTAGAAACTTTGCTGACTTCCAGTGACACATTCAGTGTCTCCGGGAATGCCTAGGTGCACACAAGGATTTACATGTCTACAGACACCTTTGTATATAGACAAATTCTCTCAGTATAGGAAATGTTATTCCTGATAGATCTGGAGATAAATCAAGACTATTAAGGAGAGGAGACATAGCTGTCTCCCTTCTTCTCCAGTGATATCATTGCAACTGATCTTAACAGGAGAATTTTGAACGTAGCCATATATTGTTGGTAGAAGCAAGGCAGGGGTGGAATTCAACCAGTGTTACTACTGGTTCGGTGACTCTGTTTTGCGTGCGCATGCGCGTGTCAAAAAACATCAGCTGTGCCATCCGGACAGCTGAAAAGCATTGCACGCAGGTGTGCAGTGTTTCAAAAGCCTCTTTTTTTTCCTGCTTTTCAACCTTAGCTGTGCCACGCAAAGCAGCTGAGGTTGAAAAAGCAGGAAATAAAGGACAGGCGGGCAGGTGGGCCAAACAGCAGCAAACACCGAACTGATTCGGTATCTGCTGCTCTTCAGAGTTACCGGTTCTATAGCATCCCACCCCTGAAGCAAGGGTTGGTGCAAGACAGGCAGCTGGTGAGATCTGGGAACCTGTGGCAAGCCACACAAGAGCCATTTAGGAGTTACAAATGGTCTGCCAACTGGAGATCTATCCTTATGCTGACATTAAATGTTTTTAAAAATAATGTGTCACTCTCTTTCATTAGGTATCTATGCCCGCAGCTCATGCAACATCTTCCGCTCCCACAGTGACCTTAGTACAATTGCCTAATGGACAGACAGTTCAAGTTCATGGTGTTATTCAAGCTGCACAGCCATCAGTTATTCAGTCTCCACAAGTCCAGACAGTTCAGGTAAATTTTAAAATTGTCACAAAAGGCATAGAGCTACTGGGAAATTGCTGTATATTGAGTTACATTACGTGGTATATATACCTATGATATACCACTTTAATTTTATGAATGTAAGTTTTAAACAATGCCTTGTGGTACTCCTCTATTATTATTCCACAGATAATCTATACCATTTAAGTTTAATTATTATTTTGTCTTAAATGTGAATTGTGACTTCCCTGGTATAAGAATATATACTGTATGCACTGGTTAGGGTTAAAAGTTACTTCAGAATGTGCTCAGCGGGGCCTTAGAAGCTTCATTGGTAAAATGGTTTCTCTTCACTGTCAAAGTTTATCTCAGTAAAGTTTTTGATTCAGGTTAAAAAAACTAAGAACAGCTTGTGTCACATCTTCATTGTATACACAAAATGTTCATGGAGTAAATAACAAGTTGAAAATGTTTGTGATAGAATATGCAGTCCATCAAAGAAAGTAGTACAGGTAGTCCTTTTTTTTTTGTAAGTTTTATTTGAGTTTTCACAAAGAGAAAAAAAAATACAAATAAAACATCTTTTTTGAAAGTAGTGTAATCCCAGGTTACATTTCTTCGTACAGACACAAATTCAGGTTCATGCTCATTTTTATATTCTATTATATATCTTATTACTATTTTACATTTTCTGCATAGCTTCTCCCCTCTTTTAATTTTCTCAATTTTATTTTAATTATCTCATCTCAATTCAAATCATTGTATTTATATTTTTTGTCTGTCCTGTTTCAATTATCTATTATCTTTTCTCATTAAACAAAATTTCTCCTGTAGTTACTGATTGGAGTATGACGCCTTTATATCTTTTCCCTAAAGTTGTAACATTCAATATAATACATAACTTCCATTCGGATTCTGCTTGGTACATTCTTAAAATACACACTGTATTCTTAAAAAAAGAAAAAATATAAATGTATATAATTAAAACAACATTCTATTCCAATTCAATTCTATCATTAATATTAATATTCATTAAAGTCTTAACATCTTTAACATTACTTTTCAATTAAATATCATACTTCTATGGGAACAATTATAAGCTTTCCATAGTAAGGGGAATCAGAAATCCCCGCGTTCAACGCCTAGCACGGCAGAAGAGAAAATGCAGCTGTGAGCAAATACTGGGAAAACCTGATTGATCAGAAGGAAGGAGGCAAAAGAGGGAGGGGTGGTGGTGGACGGAGGTCCCACTGGTATTTGTGAAACACTCGGTCGGCAGTGCTTAAAGTCAACGTCCTCGCTCCCACCCACCCAAAGCCACGAAGTCCCCCAATCGCACAGCCCAGAATCGCCCTCCCCTCAGGGGGCAGCAAAAATGCCCGGTGTTTCCCGAGACAAGAAGCTCCACCATGCAATGACAGCGCCCTGGCTCTAGGCTCGCGGGCTCAGAAGACAACGCGAGCCGAGGTGGCTTCGGCTCCGCTTGGCTTTGTTTCCTCAGCCCCAGCTGCTTTCAGTCCGCTCGGGAGGAGGAGGTGGTGGTGGCGGCTCGCGTTGTTTTTTGAGCCCTAGAGCCTATAGAGCTCAGAAAACAACGCGAGCCGCCGCCACCACCTCCTCCCCCTCCTCCCGAGCGGACTGAAAGCAGCTGGGGCTGAGGAAACGAAGCCAAGCGGAGCCGAAGCCACCTCGGCTCGCGTTGTTTTCTGAGCCCTAGAGCCAGGGCGCTTTCATTGCACGGCAGAACTTCTTGTCTCGGGAAACACCGGGCGTCGTTGCTGCCCCCTGAGGGGAGGGTGATTCTGGGCTGCGCGATTGGGGGACTTCGTGGCTTTGGGTGGGTGGGAGCGAGGACGGACGGAGTCCGTGAAGTGGGGCTTGCCTGCCCTTGTTGGCTGCCTCTGCTTAGGGGCGGGGAAGGGGGCTCATCTGGACCAAGGGTGAGTCTCCCCCTCAGTTTCCCCTGAAGGATCTTCCGTCGCTTTTGCCTTCTCCCTACGTCTTCCCTCTGTTAAAATCCCCACACACACACACACACACTTATTTTCGGGCGGATAGATTTCGTGTCTGAGCATTCTCACATGACAGTGGGTCCTTTCCCCCCCTAAAAACAGTTAAAAAAAGAAAAAACAATACATCCTCATGCAAGAACTTTTCTGCTTCCGATTACCCCCATGCTTACAAGTTGCAAAGGAAACACGGAAGCAGGGAAGCGGCTGCCCAGCTCCAGAGCTCCACACCATTTTTTTCTCAGAGAGGAATCTCACTCGAGTATAAGCTGGGGGGTTTTTTTCAGCACAAAAAATGTGCTGAAAAACTCAGCTTATACTCGAGTATATACGGTATTTTTTCATTTAAATAAAGATCACTGTTTTTCCATTTTACTTTTTGTGTTCCTTGATTTTTCTTAAACTTTCATTAATTTAAATAAATAATGATATCCTGTTTAATACGCAATCTGTTTTCTAATCCTGAAAACATTGATACATAAAAGATGATTTTCAAATAGTACCTGGTTAATAATGTTTAAAATCATAAAATTACTATGCTCTTATATCTAGATCTCCACTATTGCAGAAAGTGAAGATTCACAGGAATCTGTGGACAGTGTCACCGACTCCCAGAAACGAAGGGAAATTCTTTCTAGACGACCTTCCTACAGGTATGAATGTAATATTGTAATGCCTGCATTCAATAGCTCAGCACATTAAAAATTTTCTAGATGTTTCATCCTATTATTAGAATATAGCAGCAGGCAAATATGGAATATGTATCATGATTGGGCAGCATGGGCTATAATTGGACTGTAAGGTCTACCATTCAGTTCCGTCTTACACAGCATATATATGCCGCTAGGTCTCATGTGAGGAAAATACTATGGTAGGATGACTCATTACTTTAATCAGTTGTTTGCAAAGCAAAGTGGGAAAACATCAATGTGTAATACTCATATTTAAATCATAGATTCATTCTTCTATTTATTAATATGTAAGATGCTTTCTTTAGAGTAATCTCCCATTTGGAGAAGTAGTAATTAGGAATATTGTTTGGGTATGAAACAATCAGTCTGATTGTTAATAGTGCTATTTGCTGTGTTATTTCAAGCACACTGTTTGTAAATGAAAGTTCCACAAGATTTTTTTATTGAAAACCAGTGATCACCAAAAAAAAAAAAAGAGTACTGAAACCAGTTTTGTCCAGTTGTATACGAAATATCCAGAAGAGATTCTATATGCCCTTTCTCAGTTTACATCAGATTTTCCTTATGCTTTTTTAGAATGCACGCATATTAAAATCAGATGAGTTGCTTTTCATTTCATTGTCATAAAATTCAATCAGATATTTTAATTGCTGTGAAATGAGTGGAATGGAAGATTTATAGGAGGGAGCCAAGTGTGTTGATTCTCCATTGAGTTCCTGGAGCATTTAAACTTTCACAAGTTACAGGAAGTAAGGTTTAGATCTGAGGAAGCTTAGGATTTAATCTTAAGCTTGTGTTCTTCCAGAAAGTCCTTGACAGTGCCAGTTTCCCCACAACCACTACCTCCATTAGCAAATTTTTATCAATACCTAAAAATGCTATTCTGTCTCCAAATTCTATTTTTTAGACAACATAAAATAAACTTCTTAACTTTCTTAATTACTTGCTTCCTCTGATTAATCTTACCTGCCTTTACCGCTCTCGTATTTTAACAACTTTCACTGGAAATTTTGTAGCTCCATAGCCATTTTAACTTTGGTGTCATAGTTTCATGCTTATTCCCTTCAGTTTTACTTCCTTTCTTGCTTACTTAAAGCCATTTTCTTAGTACTTATTACCAGTTCAGTAAATATTTTCTGTAATCATGAAATTTTATCACCTGGCAATATATAAATAATTATGGTTCATTGCACAGTCAGCCACATATTCAGACCGGATTTGGCAATTTTATCCACCTATTCAGTCCTTTCCAAAGACCTGGGATAGGCATAGATGTTGATGTTTTATGGTGAATGCTTTATGGCAGCGGTTGCCAACCAGTGGGCTGTGGCCCACTGGTGGGCCGTGACAAAATTTTGGTGGGCCGCAGAGAAATCTCACCCCAACAGCACCCTCTGAAATCAATTAATCCAGGCTGCACAGAAACACAAGTGCCTGCGCTGCCCACATGGCCCACGGAAACCCTCCCTGCCCACTCACTCCTTACCCGGTAAACTTGCCTGCTAAATTTCTATTTTTCCTTTTTCTGACCATCATCTGTTCTCTGTGCGGGAGATTTAGATTAGCTAGGAAGCAGAAAATGGTTGGATTTCTTGCTTTCCAGCTAGTCTTTAGATCTTCGGCTCTGTTTTTAAGTACAGCCGGACCTCCCTTAGGACTGAAGGTTTGCTTGCAAGCAAATTCAGTGCAGACTCACGGCAAGCAAATTTGAGAGACTGAGCTAGCCGATGGCAGATAGATAGATAGACAGACAGACAGACAGATAGATCATTGAATGATTCTGTGAGCAACTCAAGTCTGCTTGCTTTGCCTGATTTTGGGTAAAAGTTGCTCTTTTTTAATAAAAAAATTCAATATTTATATAAATATTTATAATATTTACATACAAGCCATGCCCAGCCAGTCACATGACTACCAAGCCACACCCACAAATTAGGCCATACCCACAGAACCAGTTAGTGGTCCCTGGGATCTAAAATTATGAGTTTGGTGGTCCCTGAGGTCCAAAAGGTTGGCGACCCCTGCTTTATGGTATTGTCTCAGGAAGGAAGCCTTTTTCGAATAAAGCCTCCTTTTGCAATTGACTGATGGTGAATTTGTCAATACAAATGGTGTTCAAGTGGTGCTCTAGTTGTTAGGGATTGCACCCCAGAGGCCTATTACTGTTGGTATTACTTTTTCCTTTGCCACAGTCATTCTATTTTTATGTGCAGGTCTTTGTATTTTGTTATCTTCTCTATTTCCTTTTCTTCTATTTCACTGTCTCTAGATAACTGCCACATCCACTATCCAGATTTTCTGTCTTTCTTATCAACAGCTATTAAGTATGGTGTGTTATGTGGCAGGTGCCTGTCTGTTTGAATTATAAAATTCCAAAGCATTTTAGCTTCTTACATCATTTTCTATTACTTTCTGTATTTTATGATCAGTTCTTGCTTACACACAATTGGTAATTTTTGCAGATCTCCCAATCCAGTGTTGTTGTTATTTTGTCATGCCATTTTTTACAGTCTACAAAATCTTGCAGCAGCTAACCAGGTGTTCCACTGTTTCTTCAGTCTCTTTGAAGAAGAAATACTTGATGTCTGTTGCTGTTTTCCCAGCAACAGACTGCAAGTGTTCTAGCTTTATGTGCGTTTGTCCTTAAGGCTTGATCTTGTACAACCAGAATTAGCCCCTCTGTCTCTTTCTTCAACTTTCCTGTTCTTAGCCATTGCCAGGTCTTGTAATGTATTGGCCATGTAATATTTTATCTTCCCATGTCACTTTTCTATTCTTCTTTTGGTCCTTCTTATAGGCCATTTTGGTCACTCTAGTATAGAGTAGTAGTAGCAGCAGCAGCAGCAGCAACAGCAGCAGTGCTACTATGACTAAAAAGAGACCCCTTAAGCACAATCTAGTAGAATCTAACACATCAATAGTATGATTACTTTTAAGATATAATGCAGCATTCTGGTTATTCTGTCTCAGTAATAGACAGTAATACAGAATTCGGTAATACAGAATTATGAGAAGTACAAAATAAAAATAACTACTGAAAAAGTGGGATGAGAAGAGAGAACTACAATATAAATTGCTGTGAGTAGTTAATTTGAATTTTTAGTTTATGATAGTACATAATATATATATATGTTTTAAAATGTAAGTGCTATTAACAACTCAGGGATAAGAGGACAGGTATATTATAGATTATTATCTTTTTGTAAGAATCGCCTCTCCTCTCAACTCAAGAAAGTAAAAACTCTTAAAGACGAAGTATTTCAAAAAGAACCTTTTATTGAGCAGAAGTGAAAGCAAGCTATTCAAAGCAACGTCTGAATAGCCTTAGGCAAGACAAGTAGAATTAAAGCAGTAGAGACCCTTCCCTTTAGCCAGATGCGTATTCAACTAATCCACAGGTGTGTAGATTTTATTGTACCAGCCGAAACAGATAAGCATATGTTCCCATGGCCATCTTCCGCTAGCTTTCAAAGTGAAACAACCCACATGGCCCTCCCCCTAAACATTCCCCAAGAGGTGAAAATATCTCAGGGCACTTCGGGGCCAGGATACAAATTATAAAATAACAGATGTCACAGGCAATAGGAATGAATCAGATTCTCCCAATTGAATGGCAGTATCATGTTTAGGGATCTGACACTTTGATTCAGAGGCAGTATATATCTAAATTCTTGCAAGAGCAGAAGTACAATTGCTTTCATGCTAAACTTCCAAGAAAAGTATAGCTGAAAATGGTTAGGTTGGATTCATAATATTCTCAGGTTTCTCTACAAGTCTTCTGTTACGTTTATTGTAAGATTATTATAAACATGGTAGTTATTGGATTGGTTAAGATTTCTCCAACATTATTTCTTTTTAGGAAAATATTGAATGATTTGTCCTCAGATGCCCCAGGAGTGCCAAGGATTGAAGAAGAAAAATCTGAAGAGGAAGCAACAGCACCTGCTATTACAACTGTTACCGTGCCAACTCCAATTTATCAAACAAGCAGTGGACAATACAGTATGTGATCTGTTTTTTATACAATAGTAGGAAAGGAAAAATATATAAAGTCTTAATTAAATATCAAAAATGCATCTTCTACCCAAATTATAATTTCCCATCTGAAAAATGTTCAGAGCTCCATATTTGTCACTTTTGGATTTTGAAATTGTGTCACATCTGATATAATATATGACAACTTACCAAAGAATTATGAGAACCAAAGAGAAATGTTTGTGCAGTCATGTTGTTACTTAACAATAAACCCAGTGATTGCTCCCAAAACAAAAGATTTGTTATTAAAATGAAACAATAGCATACAAATGTGGCACATCAGCAAAGGAGTAGGGCAAATGAAACTTAGTTAAGCATTGTTACACAGGTGTTTTGTTTTTTATTAAACATATTTTAGAAAATTAGTATGCTTTGTGCCTTCTAGTGCCCTTCTTAATGCTATGGATATTCAGTAGTTCAGTCCCATTACTTTCCCAGCAGGTATTTCACTGCCCACTTCACTGTAAAAGATAGAATACTCTTCACCTATTCACATACGATCTTGGCTTTAAGGACCAATTTACACAATCAGTTGAAGTGAAAAGTTTCCAGGCAATAAAATGTTGCATTTCATTCATATTGAGAATGATTATAATATATAATATTTGCTCAACAATAGTTACTGCATGAAAGCATAATTTATGTTCTAGTTTATCTCATGACAGAAGCATTGCCATGTGAAATCACTCGTACATGTTCAGTGATCAAGGCTGGGAGGGTGGATGAAGGACATAGATTTTTATTATTATTATTTGCTCTGGTCCCCAGTGTGGTCCTGATTTTCTTTTAGGGACTGGTGTTGCTGATATCCATCATCAATATGGCAATGCTGTGCATGCAGGTATTGTCTGCATGAATGTATTGGTGTATATGTGGTGGAGCTGAGGAACTGATGCTGGCAGCATTGAATGAGGGACCATGTGTGAATGGTATTTTTGTTGCAGTCTGAGTGAGGTGTAGCAGACTGAGGAGCTTCATGAAAGTGAATACAAAAATAAGTACAGAAAAATACTAAGAACAGTAATTGTACGTGAAGAGCAAAAGAAACTAACACAGAGGCAACAGAGAAGAGAGCAACTGATGAAGGATGAAACTGATAAAAATATGTAAGAAGAACAAAATATATAAGATATAGGGGAAACCATTCTTATTTATTTTATTTATTAGTATCCTATCTTTATTTTTTGTACAAATAACTCAAGATGGTAAAAATAACTAATATACCTTCCCACTTCTATTTTTCTCACAACAGCAATCCTGTGAGAGGGGTTGGGCTAAGAGAGAATAACTGGGCCAAGGTCAGGTGGCTTTCATAGGTGGCTTTCATAGCTAAGACAGGAACTGAACTCACAGTCTCCCATTTTCTAGCCTGTAACCCCCAGACCATTGGAATGAATGGAGCTCGGTTATCAGAAACAAATTGCTATTTTTATTACTTTTATTAATCATCAGCAAAAAAATTATCACCAGTTTTTTTTAACCAATTACATATACTTTTCATTACCAAAAATCCAAGGAATCACACAATAAATACATATTGTTATTAAATACCAGTATCTGGATTGGTTGATTGAATTAGAAAACAAATTGCAATCTTTAAAAAGATCACATTTTGCAAAGTGCATATAATAAATTACACTTTCCTACATGGTAAACAAAATTCAGTATCTCTTCAGAAGTACATCAGTACATTCTTTTAATGATTATGGGGGTGGAGAATGCTTCAGCTGTTCTGCCATAACAGGTTTAAGAAAAACATGCCATTGACAAAATAGTTTTCAGCATTGCCTTTTGTGGTGATTTATCTATCACTTATTGAAATTGCTGCATCAAGATAATGTCTTTGTTAATAGCTGTAATGAATAAAATATATTCAGAGTCATAATGTAATTACAGAACACAGCATAAGATTAAATGTTTTAAACAACCTTATTTTCAGATTATTTACAATGTTCTTAATATCTGAATTGCTTACCTGCTTTTGCCTGTTTCCAGTTGCTATCACCCAGGGAGGTGCAATCCAGTTAGCAAACAATGGCACAGATGGAGTCCAGGGCCTGCAGACTCTAACTATGACCAATGCAGCTGCAACCCAGCCGGGTACCACCATTTTACAGTATGCACAGACTACTGATGGACAACAAATTCTGGTACCCAGCAACCAAGTAGTGGTACAAGGTAGGATAAGGACATTGTTAAATGATTTATTCAAAGGTTGATGCTTTATTTGTTTGTTTGTTTATTTATTTATTTAGTCGTTCATTCTTTTAATTGTGAAATTGTTAAAGTGCTACTTACTAGAATAGAAGAGGCCTTTTCTTCCTGTTCTTCAAATAAAATCTGTTAGGATATGAGGAGTAGAGCTAAAACAAGCAAGAACTATAACCATACACATTTTTTTCTGACACAAGTATGTGAACTTAAGGGAGAACAGAAATGCAAACATAACACACACATACATGGAAATAAATTCAGAAGCTATTCAAGGCTACTTCTGGTAAAGAGGTTTGAAAAGATTCCAGAGGCCATGCTCTGCATGCCTTTGCTACCTCATTTCTTACAATTTTCTGGCTCTTTTAAGTAAACAGTTCAGGAATGAGGCAGATCATTTCTACCAGCAATTTCTTGCATAATAGGATTTAAATTACAAATGGATTAAGTTTTATTTCAGATTTTCCCCAAATTCTCTTCAGCTTTATTAGTAGCAACAATTTTGGGAGCAACTATACTATCAGAACTATAGGTTATTATTGCAATTAGAAATACGAGATGTGAGACCTATCTCAGCTTGAACCTCTAATTAAGAACAATCTTTAACTCCTATTTTTTGAGAAATGTATAGTTTACTAGAAGTCAAGTGAACTACTGTAATGCATAGCCAGAACTGAAAATCATGCACCAAAATTCTGAAGTCTAACTTTTCCCTCTCTTAGTTGCTTCCCATCACTGGACCCCCATGTCTAATCAAATTCAAGAAAGATGTTTTCAGAACGGTCACTTCAGCCATAGGTTTGGTATACGGCTTGTGTTCCATTCCCTTGAAACTACTCTGGGAAAGATATATTGAACTTTTGTTTCCCTTAATGTATCCCCCTTCCCATCTAGTCCCCGCTAAAGTTCATGGCAGCTGATTCTGAATGGTTGCAGCTGTGAGGTGACAGCTGACAGGAGATCCATCACATAGTTTAAAGAAAGTTTAGGATACTTGTCTTGGTAATTACATACATAAGGCAAATTGGCAGAAACTATGAAAACTGGATGAATTAACCTCAGTTTCAATGCAAGAACTGCTGTGAAAGATAATACATTGCTGGCACTTGACTCCAGTTAGATTGGCTCATGTATATCAGAATTACTCTTCCAAATATTGGACAGGTTGTCAAATACAAACTTGATAAAGCCATATCTTTTTGATGCAAAAGTTTGAGGAGATACTATCCCTTATAGAATTGAATGTTCCCAGAATTAGGCTTCCTGCATTTATTTACAGCACCAAGTTTAAAAATAAAAATATTTAAAGCAGCTAAAATAATTAATTGTCCAACATTGGAAAACTCTAGATAACATAATTGGGATGTGAATTAACAAAGCCACTTTAATTGTCATATTAGAAAAAAAAAGTTAAAATAGAATTTAGAAGCCTGTTAGAAAATGAGGAAAAAGGGATGGAGGAGTTTTATCTGTGAAAATCATACAATGTGGAAAAAGATATTGATATATAAAATTCATTATAATAAAAATTACAAAATGGATGGAAGATGATCAACTGGAGCTGATTGAGTTGGCAGAGATGGTAAAATTTACTGTAAGGCTTAGAGACAATATTATGGGACTTCCGGTGGTGAGGGAAGGACAGTCAGAGGGGCAGAAATCCGCTCGCGGTTCTAGCCATCCTTTTCTTGAGTTTGGTGCGATCTTTCGGGGTTCTCGAGTCTCGGAGAGACCCGTGCCGGTGTGGGGGAACCTCGGGCTGCAGTGTGGGGAAAGCAACCCCCCTGCAATGAAGAGGAAGCCCTCCAGAGCCCAACGATCAAGAACATCCTCCTGTCAATGGAGGCTCCGAAGTCTGGACTGCCACCGATGGGAAGGAAAGAGTGAGTGAAAGTTTGCAAGCTCGCGGGGAAAGAGAGTCGTGGTTAAAGACAGTGGCAGAGAAGATTTTTGACTGATAATAGACTGATTTCAGGCTGTTAAATACTGTGCGAACGCCTGCTGTGAGCTCTAGGAGAAAGCAGCTACAAGAGAATCGGTCTAGTGAAAGTGAAGGGGCTCGGCAGGCAGAAGAGAGTCGGAAATAAAAAAGAAGTAAAGAGAATTTTGGAAGTCTGAAGACCAGCACGGGGGAGCGATTAAAAAGACTCTATCATCACTGACATTTGGATTGAGGCTATTAAATCGGAGCCAGAAGCAGAACGAAGCCGATCGGGGGAAAAGACAGAGCGGCGCCATAGGCGGTATCCAGAACGCTGAAGTGGCTACAACAAAGTAACAGATCTAACTGTCTGAAGGGACACAATCTAATCTATAAACTCTGGGAAAATTGAGTACCGGTCCTAGCAGAGGAGACAGTTCCTTTCTCTATTTGAAGGAGATCAGAACAATTGATTTAAAGAACACTAAAATACAAATAAAAGAGGAAGTCTTTAAACAAGTGGGAACATTGCTTACTGGCAGCTGTTACTCAGCAAATCTTCATTTGTCATTTCCAGTGTGCTCTAAGTGAAAGCTCCCAAAGTGAAAAGCAGAAACAAAAAACTCTTGTCTTTGGAATTTTCTTGTTTCTTTTCCTCTACCCTTTTCTGTGTGTACATACTTACTAAAATAGCCTCTCTTCCTTTCTATTTGTTGATGGTATGCTATGTTGAAATATGCTTGCTTTTTTTTCTGATTTCCTCTTGATAAATATGTACATTTAGTAAAGAAATATTAGAGTGTTAAAATATTGGATTAATTAATTTAGTTAAGTTATTATTAATAGAGATTGTTATAATTTGAATGGGAATATAGGGGAGACAGTAAGAATATTAAGCATTAGTTATTTAACAATCTTAGAGCTCTCTAGACCAATATTTCATTGTGTGGGTGTATCTGTGAATGTAATATATTGTGTAGTTAAGGTTACTTTATATTGAAGTTAAACTAGAGAAATATATATACACTTTACTAATTAGTTAAGAATATAGCTACTTAATAGATTGATAGATCTTGGTCAATTTTAGTTACAGAACTAAGAATACTGAATGCCAATTTGGAATAATATATTTAGCATTGTACAACAACAAAAACAAATTTTAAAGGAAATGACTACTACAACTACCACTACTCTGAAATCTGGTAGGAAGGTTAATCCCACAATATCAACCACTTTGGCAACATCTTCACCTATGGCACAAAAAACAATAGAGGAAACACTACCAACAGAGAAGTCAACTAGCATCTCGAATGCGAATATCCAAGCAATGTTCCTAACCTTACAGGACTCATTGACAAGATTGCAAGAAACAGTGACTAAAAACCACAGTGAAAAAAGGGCAGATATCAATGAATTGAAGGAAGAAACGGGGAAACTAAAGATAGAAATGAAAGCGGACATTTCCAAAGTAGAGGATAAAGTGGGGGTGTTGCAGCAGGCCTTGGAGAAAAGCGAAGTTATAATAAAAGAAGTAGAGAAAAGAACCGAACGAACGGAAAGGGAATTAGAAAGGGTGGATGAAGATCTCAAAAGTATGAGCAAAGAAATGGAGGACTCCCTCGTCCTCCTAGAAATGGACAAGGCAGCAACTTACCTAAGATTCCAAAATGTGGCAGAATCAAAAGAAGAAGACCTGGAATACTTGATGGCAGAAATATTGGGCGGTTTATTGAAGATGGATAAAGATGAAGTTCAAAAAGAGTTTGATGAAGTCTACCGGGTCAATACAAACTATGCAAGACGCCACAAATGTTCCAGAGAAGTACACATACGATTCACTAGAAGATGTGTTCGAGACATGATATATAGAACCTCAAGAGATAAAACAATAACCTACAAAGAGAAAGAAATTGTGATTCTTAAACAGATACCGAGGAGAATAAGGGAACAAAGGTGTGACTATAAATTTCTGGCAGCATATTTAAATCAAAAAAGAATTACATTTAAATGGCTTATTCCAGAAGGAATGTTAGTGTCATGGAAAGAGAGGAAAATCAAAATAGACACTATGGAAAAAGCCCAGGATTTTTACGAACGGATGGTGGGCCCACAGGAGCAAAGTAGTAGGGAGGAATTGGACACAAATTTTCAAGAAGAACACGGTGGACATAAAAATAGAACTGGAATGGTAGGAAACCAAGAGAATACCTATCCACAACAAAAGACAGAAGGAACCACATTAACACAAGTGCAAGAAGAGAGAGGAATTGTTACAGGACAAAGAGCGAAACAAAACTAAATAGATGGGAGAAGAAAAAAAATTACTATCAATAAACATAAATGGTCTAAATTCGACAATTAAGAGAAAAAGGATATTATCTAAATTAATTAAACAAAATGCAGATATAACGTGCCTGCAAGAAACCCATATAAAGAAGAAGGATGAAAAATATGTAGAATGCCCGAAATTAGGAAAGTTATTTACCACACCAGCAGATGAGGAGAAAAAGAAGGGAATCGCAGTATATGTGAAAGAGGATTTGAAATCTGAGCTAATATGGTCGGACTTAGACGGAAGGACTCTGGGTTTGCAGATCTGGATTAATGATATTCCAATTCTTTTAGTAGTAATATATGCCCCAAATGGAGACCAAAAAGAGTTTTTTAAACACCTATATAGAAAATTGGTTGAATTGCAAAAAAGAAATATTTGCATAGTAGGGGACTTCAACTCCATTGCTGATTTCCAAATAGATCACAGTAATGCCGGGAAGAATAAAAAGGGGAAGAGAGAGCTCCCCAAGATCTGTAGGGAAATGATGAAAGAGCTAAATCTGTCAGATATATGGAGAAGATTACATCCTGAAAAAAGACAATTTACATTTTACTCAAATCCCCACCAAACATGGACACGGATTGATATGGCATGGATGAGTGGGGAAATAGCAAACGAGACAAAAGAAGTGGAAATTTTGCCTAATGAATGGGCAGACCATAATCCAGTACAGGTAATATGGAAGGGCAGGGCAAAACCAAAGAAAAGATGGACCTTAAACACTCAATTAATAAGAGAGAAAGAATACATTAATAAATTAAAGGAGGAATTGAATTTTTTTATAAAAGAAAATGATAATGGAGAAACCACGAAACAAAATGTTTGGGATACGATGAAGGCGGTTATAAGAGGCATAACAATCTCTTATAACGCCAAGAGAAACAAGGAAAAATATTCCCAACAAAACAAATTACAACAAAGAATTAAGGAGCTAGAAACCCTTCTACAAAATAACCCAAAAGAACCCAAACTGCAAAATCAGATAAGTATAGCCAAACACAAACTGAATTTAATTGATCAAGAGAAAATGACTATGAATTTGAACTTAACCAGACAAACCTATTTTGAACATGCCAACAAGCCAGGAAGATGGCTATCTTATAAATTAAAAAAAAAGAAAGAGAGGAGATTGATATACCAGTTAATAGATAGCAAGGGAGATACATACCAGGAAATAGAACAGAAAAAAGAAATCATTCATAAATACCTTGAAGATTTATATAAAAGAGAGGATGTCAGTGAAGATAGAATAAGGAATTATCTGGATGAAGTAAAGGATAAGGCAATTGGGGAAGAAATGGCTGAACTATTAAATAAAGACATTACTGAATCGGAATTGAAATCAGCAATAGAGATCCAGAAAAATAATAAAACCCCGGGCCCAGATGGGATCCCAGGGGAGCTGTACAAGGCAATAGCAGATCAAATCGGACCACTTATGGTGGAAGTCTTTAATGACGTTTTACTGGCAGCCAGGATGCCGGACTCATGGAGGGGGGCATTGATCTCGCTGATCCCGAAGGAAGATACAGATCCCAGATATATAAATAACTACAGGCCGATTTCACTTTTAAATACTGATTACAAAATATTCACACTTATTATAGCAAACAGATTTAAAAGGATCTTAAATTTGTATATACATGAAGACCAAAACGGATTTCTCCCAACTAGGCAAATAAAGAACAATTTAAGAATAGTATTAGACGTACTAGAATTTTACGAAGCCCACCCCGACAAACAAGTAGCACTTACGTTCCTAGACGCAGAGAAGGCTTTCGACAATCTAAATTGGCAATTTTTAATTCAAAAAATTTATAATTTGAATTTGGGCACCAAATTTGAAAATATTATAACAACTATATATGATACACAACAAGCTAATATAATAGTGAATGGGGAATGCACTCGCCCAATAAAGATAGAAAAAGGAGTGAGACAGGGTTGCCCACTATCTCCCCTGCTCTTCATATTAGCATTAGAGACATTATTAACACGAATTAGGTGGAATTCAGATATAAAGGGATTAACAGTTAAGAAAGAGGAATATAAATTGCAAGCATTTGCGGATGACATGATTTTCTTCATTGAAGAACCAAAAGACAGGGGACCAAAATTGATGAGTGAATTAGAGAAATTTGGAGCAGTAGCTGGACTTAAAATAAATTAAAAAAAACCAAATTAATGACCAAAAACTTAACAGAAAAACAGAAAATAGAACTAGAAGAAATAATGCATAAAGTGACAAAGAAAGTGAAATACTTAGGAATTTGGCTAACCCCACACTGTAAGACACTTAAAGAAAACAGTTGTGATAAACTGATACACCAGGTAAAGAAAGATTTAGAATCGTGGGGGAAACTTCAAATTTCACTACTAGGCTGAATTGCTACTATTAAAATGAACATTCTCCCCAAATTCTTGTACCTATTCCAAACGATCCCAATCAAATTACATACAATTTTTTTTGAAGAACTCAATAGAATAACCTTGAAATTTATTTGGCAAGGGAAAAAACCCAGAATAAATATAAAAGCAATGCAAGATATGAAGAGCAGGGGAGGCCTAGCATTTCCAAATTGGGAGTTATATCACATGGCCACCTCGTTAGTTTGGCTGAAGGATTGGGTGAACTTAACCAACAAAAGAATATTATTTTTAGAAGGCCATGATTTACAAACGGGGTGGCACGCTTTCTTATGGGATGTAGGGAAAATCAATCCAAAATGCTTTCATAGACACTTAATCAGAGATGCACTATTAACAAATTGGAGGAAAATACGGAAAAAACATTACACAAAAATACCAGTATGGATTTCAGCAATGGAGGCAATGATTCACCCAAACAATTTGGAAATTACCAAAATGATTAAATACAAAGATTTACTGGACCCATGAGGAAATTTGAAACCGAGGCAGGAACTTCAGGAGCAAGGACAAAAAATTGATCAATGGGTTTATCTTCAGATTCAAAGCAGATACAAACAAGACAAAAAAGAATTCGGAATCAACAATAAATTGCAACAATTAGATAAAATTTTATTAGGATCAAATAAAAAAAATAAAATTTTATAATTACTTATTAGAAACAGAACTAAGAAGAAAAAATTGTAAAAAAAAAATAGAGAAAATATTATGGACATGTTTATAAGAAAATGGAAGCCATCCATGGACTTTTTACAAGTTTAATATAATAATGGATTGTTCGTGAAGGTACTAAGATTAGTTTATTTCTCACTGTGCAAAGGAAGGAATATATTAGATTTATTTGAGACATATTTGTCAACATTCAACCAGTGTGGACAATGTATGTTTAATGTTGATTCTATATATGTTGTGCACACTTTTTATTGTTTTTTTTCTTTTTGTAGTGTTTGTAATTTGGACGGGGACTGTCTTTCTGTTTTTGTAGTTTTTAATACCCTATCTTTGAAATATCATTTATTGGATGGAAAAAAAATAAAAGAATGAGATATCAGAGGCAGGAACCACAGTTTTATGAAATATGGATGGGTCTTATGATTTACCATTACAGCAGTAGACTATAATATGGTGATAGTTTATATATATGGTAAATTGATGCATTTATAGTACCTATCTATTTATAACTTAATAGATTTGTTTGTATTTTGTATATTTTGTTTCTCTATGCATCTGTGATTTATATTATTTTGGTCACTTGATAATGCTTGATAATCATAGTTAATCATAGAACAATAAAAACTAATTCTGTTATTTGATTCCTGGAAAGCCCAGTAGTTTGCTCAGGTTGAATTTAACATATTTGTTGAATTACAAAAGACATGTGAATCAGGAATATATGGGAGACAGGAAAGGAAACCTTAGGAGAAAACATGTCAGAAATGTAAAGGCAGGAAAAAAAGGTAGAATCTTGATAGTAGTTATATTATGAGGGAAAGAGATAAAGAATAAGAGCAATGGTTGTGGGAGAAGAGGTTGGAGAAAGAGAAGAGACACATAAGATTGGGTAAAAGAAGCCAAAAAAACCGTATTCAGATGAAAATATCCTTTGAATATCAAAGATGATTTGGGTAGGAAATATAATCAGGAAGGGGAGATATTGTTTTAAGTAGTTTCAGAAGGAAAGTGATCAGGGAACAAAGTAACTAAGAAAGAGGGATATGAGACAGAAGTCAAAGAGGATATTCAATGCAAAAAGAAATGCTTGAGGCTTGTATGTTATTTCTATAAATGCTGACCAGTAGAAACTTCGTATTGTTGCAGTGATAGTTGCAGTCAACCATGCCAGTTACATTATTGGAAGAAGAAAACTGCCAACTAGTATTAAAAGATTTTCAAATCATTTTAAGAATTGTCTTCTAGTACTGTCAAGTATAACATTTTGTAACTCTTTCCAGCTGCTTCAGGAGATGTTCAGACCTACCAAATTCGCACTGCACCCACAAGCACCATTGCACCTGGTGTTGTCATGGCATCTTCCCCAGCTCTTCCCACTCAACCAGCAGAAGAAGCAGCACGAAAAAGAGAAGTCCGTCTAATGAAGAACAGGTTTGTTATACAATTCAGCAATAGCCAAAAATATTTTTATTTGACTTACAACCACAATTGAGCCCAACATTTTTGTTACTAAGAGAGACAGTTGTTAAGTGAGTTTTGCCCCATTTTATGACCCTTCTGCCACAATTGTTAAATGAATCACTGCAGTTGTTAAGTTACTACCATGGTGTGTTCAGTGAATATGATTTCCCCATTGACTTTGCTTGTCAGAAGGTCATAAAAGGTGATGATGTGAGCTTCCAGAACACTGCCACCATATTAAATAGGAGCAGTTACTAAGCATCTGACTTTTGATCATGTGACAATGGGGGTGTGCACAGTGGTGGGATTCAGTTTTTTTTTACCAGCGGTTCTGTGGGTGTGGCTTATTTGGTGGGCGTGGATTGGTGGTCATGTGATTGGGTGGGTGTGGCTTAGTTATGTGATTGGGTAGGCATGCTTGGTTATGTGACTGGGTAGGTGTGGCCAACTTGACATCACTCACATCAAGGGGTGCCTTGCATGACCTCAAAGAGGTCTCTATTTCCCTCTCTCTTTACTATTACTGAACATTCAAAATACACTATTTAATGCTATGTATATGTGCCATATGTGTACATACATATTACATAGTATAGTGTGTGTAAAGGCACACAAAAAGATACATTATCTACTATATATGCTGTATGTGTATGTACACACACACACACACACACACACACACACACACACACACAGAGCTCTTCTAAAACTATGTTTGGAAAAAGACACCCATAGTCCACTTTCTGCCACACATTTAACTATAACGTCTGTACATTAGAACATTGCACACGCCTTCAGATTTACTTCCCTAGCTTGCACATGACCATTAGACCCAGGAGAGGTCATGGATTGAGTAAAATGTGGTGAAACTTACTTAACAACACTCTTGCTTAGCAATCAAAATTTTGGGCTCAATTGTGGTCATAAGTGAAGGACTATCTCTACCTTCTTCTGCATGGCAGCCTTGTTCTAGTAAACTCCTCTGTCAATTTTCCTCTCTGTTAGAGGCACTAAAATAATCCAGATTCCAGATGATTTAAGGTTTCCTGCTGGAGCAGGGGGTTGGGCTAGATGGCCTCCAAGGTTCCTTCTAACTCTGCTGTTCTATGATTCTGTAAGGATATCCTGCTGGAACAGGGGGTTGGACTAGAACAGGGGTTTTCAAACTTGACAGCTTTAAGACTTGTGGACTTCAACTCCAGAATTCCTCCTCCAGTCATGTTAGCTCAGGAATTCTGGGAGTTGAAGTCCACAAGTCTTAAACTTGCCAAGTTTGAAGACCCTTGGAATAGAAGATGACCTCTGAGATCCCTTCCAGCCCTTGATTGCTGTTCTGTTTCAAAGAGTCTTCTGAAGCCAGGGTTTGTGTCCTTCCTTCCTCTCTTTTTTTTCCTCTCCCCCTCCCTCCCTCCTTCCATCCATGCATCCATATATCTCATTCACTTTCTCCTCCCTCCCTCTTTCTCTCCCTTCCTTCCATCCTGTTTTTCTTTGTCTATCCCTTTTCTTCCTTTCTCTCTCTCTCTCTCTTTCTTTCCCTTTTCTTTCTTTTCTTTTTCTCTTCTCTCCTCTCTCTCTTTCTCTCCCTCTTTCTCTGTTTCCCTCTCTCTCCCTCTTTCTCTCTCTGTCCCTCCCTCTCTTTCCCTTTCTTTCTATCCCTTCCCTTCCTCCTTCCCTCTCCTTCTAAAGCTAGGAGACCCACCTGAAACACATACAGGCTTCCAAGTGCCCACCTGAAACAAACACACAGTCACACACGCTTCTAAGCGCCCGGCAGCGTTGCTCGTTACAAGGATCCTTCTTGGCCAGTCTCCAGGCAGGCAAGGCTTCTGGGTCCAACAAAGGGGCAGCAGGCGGGCAGGTCTTCCTCCCCTCCTGCTTTTGGGGAAAGTTAAGGACTGGGAAAATAAAGCTAGGAGAGGAGACACACCTGAAACAAATACACGCTTCTAAGCGCCCGGCAGCATCGCTTGTTACAAGGGTTCTTCCCGGCCAGTCTCCGGTCCCGCGTTGCCTGAAAAAGCCAGCAGGCAAGGCTTCCAGGTTCGGCAGGCAGGACTTCCTCCCCTCCCACTTTTGGGGCTGGGAAATTCAAGTGTGGTGTGTGCTGCAGCCTCGCCCCCCCCCCCCCCAACTTGCTGGCAGCTCTGGGCTAGGCAGCTTTTCCAACTGCCTGAAACCATACATACCTTCCTCCTGCACCGAAAAAAACATGCGTGGCTATAGGCTTCTTGCAGCGGCTTTGCTGTGCTACTCCAATGTGCCGCCACATTCTAGGCACCGGCCACTCAGGTCCATCCCATTGAACCCGCTGCACTAAAGCCGAGTGCAGTGGTGCAGCACTCCGAAAGAGGCAGCTGGAAGAGACTTTTTTTCGGTCTCCAGCTGCCCCTTTTTCAGCACAACTGGCCGGTTACTCCCCTCCTCCTCCGCCTGTTCTGTAGGGCTGAGGAGGAGAGTCGTCGGCTGGTTGGGGGAGGCTTCTTGTGCTGCGAAAGAGGTGGCTGGAGACTGAAAAAGAGTCTCCTCCAGCCGCCTCTTTCACAGCGCAAGAAGCCTCCCCCAACCGGCCGACTCCTCTTCCTCCTTGGCCATATAGAACAAACGGGCGGAGAAGGAGGAGAGCAGCTGTCTGGTTGGGGGAGGCTTCTTGCGCTGAAAAAGGGGCTGCTGGACATGTGGCCACCTACCGGGCCGGACTGGAAGAGGCACATCCGCCAGGAGAAGGAAGAAAGCATGCTCCGGCAGGGTGGGCAGGTGGGTGGATGTCCTGGGGCCGCTGCACATGTGCACTGCATGTGTAGCGGCTACACATGCAGGCACATGTGCAGCAGCTGTGGGACATCCGCCTGAGCTGCACCGTGGACACCATGTGGTAGGGAAAGCTGGGAGAGCTATTGGGGTAAGTGGGCGACTGGGTTGGGGGCATGGCCAGCCAGTGGTTGCAACTGGTTTGGCGACCCACGCCAAATCACCACTACTGGTTCACCCAAGACGGTGCAAACTGGTTGAATACCACCTCTGGTGCAGTCATAACTCACTTTTTTCAGTGCCGTTGTAACTTCAGACACTAAATGAATGGTTGTAAGTGAAGGACTACCTGTATTTGAAAAGCAGGCCAACAACTTTCTTTACTTCCATTCTAAAGAAAGTTTTATTATATAAGATGAAATTGATGGTACGAAAAGCAATTAGTTTATCTGAAAAACATGAATAAGGAGATTTGCAAACCTCTTGTTGTGTTGCAGTGGTTAATAGAGCCAGAAAGTGCGGGGCAAGTATTTTTTTTTTTTTTTTAGTTATGGCCCAGAATTAATCTTGTTAACAGTCAGAACCATTTCATTTGTGAAGCAACTATGCAATATCAACTAAAAATAAATTATTTCAAGCAAGACAGCAGGATGATACGTATTCAGTCAATTTATATGATTTGATAAGTCCAAATAAAGTTTATCAAATAAAATATTCATTGGCTCCCCATGCAAGTATATCAACCAAAACCATAGATTATTATTGCAATATTTGTTCAGTGCAAAGTTGCGTAGTCAGTGTGCAACATATAGCTCATTAGATATTCTACTTATACATGGCTCCTGTTCATTCATAATTGTGCATTCTCCCTTTAGTTTATTGTCTGAAGAAGGAACTCACATTTTTATTGTTGTTTGGAATATGCCAGAAGAATCAAACAATTGGTCTTTTCTGCAGCACATTCTTATAAACAAGCAGAGTTGGAACATTTTTAATTTGTTAGATAAACCCTCTTGCTGGGGGGGTGGGGGTGGGGGGTTGTCTCTAGGTTGTTGTTTTTTAACCGGGGTGTGGGAGAGGTTGGCAATGCCTAGGGAAGGAAAGGCATACATCCACAGGTCACATGGATATATTTAAAGGGCCAACTAATGTCATTGGTGTTGGGAGATTCATTGGTAAAGTGATAGTGACTGGATGTGTGATATTCACTGGAGCAGTAACTGGAGTTAGTAAATTGACAGGTGAGTGTTAACAGAGAAGTCATGGACAAAGGGCTGGTTATGGTAACAGGGCGGCCTAAGCTCATTGGGCTGTGTATATTAACTGCGCTCAAAATATTGGCTGGACTTCTCATATTCATTACAGCAGCCACAGTGCAAGGCACTGATCCTTTGCTACTCACCCCCACCCCACCCCAATTGTCAGCCACTGTGCTGCTACTGTGGGAAAGCAGCCACGTCCCAAGCACAACCTTTCACAGCCAGGAGGATGATGTGCCCATTTTGCAGGTCCTCCACTTGTTCCGATACCCCCTGACCTGCCTCACCCACCATCAGGGCTTGCACCTGGGTAGCCAGGCCCATCATGCCAGTAACGCCAAAGATGTGATGTTCTTGCAGGCTGTGGTATCTGAACCTCCAGTCTCATGATTTCCCTTCATGCCATTGCCATTGCCCCCCTCACTGCTCCAGCCTAGGGCCAAAACAAGCCTTTCTGCCCAGAGCTCCTATTTGGGGATGCAGGGCCAGTGCAAGGCAGCACTTTGCCATTTCAGTTCCCGCAGTGGATAGAGCATCTATGAGCTGCAGCCAAGGCCAGAACGAGCAACCAAAGCCCTGCTCTGCCATTGCGCCTGCCTCCCCGACCCTGGTTCTTGGAAGAGCCACTTGCTGGCCCTGGGCACCCAAGGGAAGCTCCAGGTGGCAATTTCGAAAGGGGCAGGAACAGTTTATGCAAGACGCGGGATACAGCTTGAGTCTCCTCGGTTGGGGCACTTCCCTGCAAATTGTTACCTGGCCCGGCCTTGGTGTTTGGAAAAACAGGACAGTGCAGAAAGAGGAGGAGGGGCCTTACCTGGAGGCCAGCTGGCAGAACTGCTCAGCCATGCGGGTCCTTCCATCGCGCCTTACTCTTAATTCAGGGGTCGCCAACCTTTTGGACCTCAGGGACCACCAAACTCATAATTTTAGATCCCAGGGACCACTAACTGGTTCTGTGGGTGTGGCCTAATTTGTGGGTAAGGCTTGGTGGTCATGTGACTGGCTGGGCATGGCTTGTATGTAATTATAAATATTTATATAAATATTGAATTTTTTTGTAAAAAAAAAAGGAAAACTTTTACCCAAAATCAGGCAAAGCAGGCAGGTAGATTGAGTTGCTCACAGAATCACAGATTCATTCAGAGATCTATCTATCTGCCATCGGCTAGTTCAGTCTGTGACATAAAATTTGCTAGCAAGAAAACTCACAAAATTAACTCACAACACACCATGCATGTAAATATTGAATTTTTTATAAAAAAGAGCAACTTTTACCCCAAATCAGGCAAAGCAGGCAGGCAGATTGAGTTGCTCACAGAATCATTCAGTGATCTATCTATCTGCCATCGGCTAGCTCAGTCTCTCAAATTTGCTTGCCGTGAGTCTCCACTGAATTTGCTTGCAAGCAAATCTTCAGCCCTAAGGGAGGTTCGGCTGTGCTGAGCCGAAGATCTAAAGACTAGCTAGAAAGCAAGAAATCCAACCATTTCCTGCTTCCTAGCTAATCTAAATCTCCCAACACAGCAGAAGAGGAAAAATAGCAATTTAGCAGGCAAGTTTACCGGGTAAGGAGTGAGTGGGCAGGGAGGGTTCCCGAGGGCCATGTGAGCAGCGCAGCCTTGTGTTTCTGCATAGCCCAGATTAATTGCTTTCTGGGGGTGCTCTTGGGGTGAGATTTCTCTGCGGCCCACCAAAATTTTTTCGCAACCCACCGGTTGGCAACCGCTGCTCTAATTGGCATGGTGGGCTCAGTTACTCGTGGGAGCAGTCACCACCTCACTCGCACCTTCTCATCCAAGCTGCCAGTTGTTGTTCCAGTTCTTTCCACCATAGCCACGCAGCCTTTTCTTCCAATTCTAGCTACACCTTGGTACTCATAGCTGCGGGAGCCCAACACTGCAGTTCCCCTCACTCCAACCAATGGCCTCTGCTTGTGTCAAGAAGCCAGTGGCTGGGCGGGAGCACATTTCCCTCCCCCGACATTGGTTTTACCTTCCAGTGCCATCCCACAGGGCTCGCACCACTCTGCTCACCCGCAGCTGCCTACGAAGGTAAGGCCTGTGCTTGGCCAAAGGGCGGGGGCCAGCAGGGGAAGCCAGCTGGCGGAGGGGTGATGTGGGCGGTGCAGCCTCATGCTCCCTGGTCACTGGCAGCTGTGGCAGGTGAGGCCCAGCAGCTGTGGAGTGTCTGGGTGGGGGCGAGATATAGGCTTTGGGGGACAGGTGGCAACAGCTCGCCTTCCTCTCCGCCACCAGATGTGGGAGAAAGGGAAAAGCAGGCAGGAATCGGGTTGTGGCCAGTTAGGAAAGCCGAACTGCTGCCCAGAGCAGGGCCCAAAAGGTGACTAAACCATGTCCACTGCACGCCCTGACGGCTCTTCGGCCTAGCACGGTGGGCCCAGAGCAGATTTCCCTACCTCACCATTGGCCTTACTTTCCAGTTGCAGGCCACGGAGAGGAAGCAGAACTATTCTCTGATAAAGTGAAGAAATCTGCATCAGTGAATTACTGACACAACAATTGTTTGAATTCTTATCAGTGTGACAATCAACTCTTACATCAGCACTAAGAGTTCTGTAGCTTGGGCCTTTCTTGTATTCCAAATCTAGAAGAATTTTGAGAGACTGAGGGAGAGCAATCTCTCTCTCTTTCTCTCTTCCCCCCCCTCCCTCCATACACACACACACACACACACACACACACACACACACACACACATACGTTTCCGTAGATTTTCACGGGTACAGGTATGCAAGTCTTGGTGTGTTCAGGTTTTTTCCAGTGTAAGATTGAGAATATTTTGGCGACGTTTCGAAACGTTGCCAAGATACTCTCAAGACCTGCTGAAAACCCCAGCTCAGGGACATTAATGGGATCACGGGGCACAATATGTAGAGACAAAACCTTATAAGTAATTGTACTGAGCCTTCCAGATGATATGATTGCTTTAATGCTTTGAGAATTAGAGTTATTGCATACTAACAAGAGATTTGGTAATAGAAGGTGTTATACTTTTCCAGTTGATGGTTTCTAAACTTGCAGCCCTTCATTGCGGTAACCTACTTTTTAATGGATGAGAAGGAAAACTCTGTTTTCTCTAGCTCTAAAATTACTATATTCTTGAAGTTAAAATCAGCTATGAATGTTGAAAATTATCCTCAGCCTGTATATTTTCTCTTATTTTGCCTACAGGGAAGCAGCACGCGAGTGCCGCAGGAAGAAAAAAGAATACGTCAAATGTCTAGAAAACAGAGTAGCTGTCCTTGAAAACCAAAACAAGACATTAATTGAAGAATTAAAAGCACTTAAGGACCTCTATTGCCACAAGTCAGATTAATTTTAATTCCCCATTTTTGTTTGTTAATGGGGAAAAAGACTGGTTTGGTGATTACCAAACAGACAAAATGAACTTTTTATTTTCTAAGCATTTTTTTCTTTTTCTTTTTTTTCTACATACACAACTGTCTGAAAGCAACTAAGGAATTTGATTTATCTGTGCTCGGCATTAAACTGTGAATGTTGCACATCTGCCTTTACTTCTTCCCCTCCTGAAATCAATTTCATCACAGTATACCCTGATTCTGAAGAAAAAAGCAAACTTCCTCTTCAAGAAATAATCTTCATTTGTGATGTTACAAGAATTGGAGGTTTCTTACAATAATTTCAAGAGTCAGCATAATCTCAACTGAATTCCTTAGCGAGAGTCACCCTGGACTTTTGCCCTGAAATACTCAGTGGGCCACATATATAACCAAGGTATGATGCACTGAGGTTGCTGTGGTTGCCAAGTTATTGCATAATTTCAAATATATGTTAGCAATTGTACAGTTAACATCTATATGGGGGGATAATGCCAAAGGAGATGCATTTCAGGTATACTAACCATAGAGGAATAAGATGAGCTGAAGAAATTAAGGAAGAGGCAAGTGAGGCAATTATGAACCCAATCCAATTTTTGTACAACAAAAAGAACCACTTATTTTCTATAATGTTTTAATAAGCTTAATGTAGCCAGACTTCTGAATTCAAATGACAAGTATCACTTTATACTTGGTTGGGATGCGAATTGGTAGGAAGAAATAGTGTAGTATATGTTTAAGATGGGAACATAATAGTATATTCACTATTCTTTCCTTTTTCTGTATCCAAAAACAACATTATCCAAGGTAACAATTAGAAACATAGTTAGCATAATGCACACTTTGGGAAAAGAAAACTTAAAGCTGTCCTAATTGTATCATGCAAGTAATAATTTTGAAACTTTGCCTATCAAAACTTTGCCTTTTGACTTTTCTATTTTGCTTAAACCTCCTTTGATATATCTTTAAAAAGAAGTAAATTCATTCTCTGTTGCATAATCTGCATGTATAATGTGGATATGATAAAGATTTTTTTTGCTAAAATCCTACCTATTGTATATTCAGATGCTGTTACATTTATCCAGTGGACACATTTATCAAACACATTTAATGCAGTCTACAATTCATTTAAGCTGACTATTATGAATAGGCCTCCTGTAATTTAAGGTTTTAATTATATACATAAAATTGCCATATGCAAAGTTTTAATCATATTTTTCAGGAGCAATTAAAAGAATCTGGCAGCCATGAGCATAGCAAATCTTTTGAAACCGTTAGAATTTATTTGGTGAAAAAAACATATCCTGGAGTTGATTAAAGCTGAGGATCCATGAGGGTCAGAATGGGATTATATGGAGACAATTATAGCCCAGTCATTATTTCAATGTGTATGTATGTATATATATATATATATACACATACAAGCTATTAAAATAAACTTAAATGGTAGCTGTTCTGAAAGATAAAATACCAGGATATATTAAGGATAATTTAATAAAGTGATGATATAGGGGGATTACTTCATTTTTAAAAACATTTTTCTGTGAAAACGTTTTTTTATATATGGGAACAAATAAACTTTTTTCTTTGTTTATATAGTCAAAACCAATTCTAGATTTGGAAAAGATAAATGTTCCACTCTCCTTTTAATTTGCTAGGCAGACTTGCTTATCTTCCTACTGGCATGGAAAATAGATACCTGAACATTTGTATAAATAATTTATATATGGATTGTGATCTTTCATAAATTGGATGAAACAGAATGAAAGCATATAAATTAAGCATATAATTAAGTGCTGCTATTCTGAAATTTTCATTCTCTGTATCTTTATAAAAACAAGGACTTTGGTCTAGCAAAGATTTGGGAATATATGCTTTTAGAGAGCTGAAATCCACAATTTGTAACTGTATTGTGAAATTTGTCTTTTCCCCCCCTGGAAATAGGGTAGAATCATGAACTCACTGATTTTGCAGAAGTCATTTTTGTGACACTGTTGTCATGGTATGTGGTATCTTTTTGTTTGGATAATTTTGAAAAAGTATCTCATAAAGCTGGCTGTTTTGGGATCACATACATGGGTTAACTTGTATAAAAATTATGCAATAATGTAAGATTTGTTTTAAAGACTTAAGTACTGGAAAAGCAACCACCATAACTCTCTCCACTATTTTAACATCATTTGTAATTATTGGATATGTTTGTATTTTAGCAGATAAGTCACCAGCTGTTTGTGGGGTGGGAAGATAAATAGCCTTTACAGCTTTTGTAAGTGCTCTATGAAAGAGGATAAATCTTGATCACTTGTAGTATCACAGGATCTGTTGTACTGGTTCTATAGTTAATATAAAATTTACATTCTGAGATTTTTCACCAGCAATAACACAACATTTGCGTTCACTTTAATTATCCTGTACTGAGTTACTTAGGCATCTGGCATTCCATATATACTTTGAATCATGTTTTAATTATCCCAAGTATAGAGCAGATTGGTTCCAATATTTGTTTTGCAAGTAACAGCCAAAATGAACGGGGGATAGTACTGAAAAACCAACCCTCCGTTTGTATATTACTAATTTATTGAGTTAATAAATTTATTGAATAGTTAGTATCTATTATACATGTGGCCCCTTTGCTGTATAACAAATGTTTTGTTGAGTTTATTGACTGATTTAACTAAAACAATTGGCATAGAAAGGGCTAGCTCCATTATAGTCGTCTTACATAGAATTGATTTGAAGTACAGTTTCTATATTTTACAAAAGAAAAAAAAACATTATTCAGGCAGTAAAAATATTGCCTGAGGTGTTCTTCTAAAAGATATTCTTGGAAAGGTTTATGTATAAAGTATGTACATATATAAAATATATATACACAGTATATAATCTATAGCTCTGAGAGCTTTTAAGTCAGGAATGCTGAATATTATAGTATATTGAGGTCAGAAAAAATAGTATGTATGTGTGCAGATACATGCTTATTGTTTCTTCTCTTTTCCACCCCTGAACACCCCTCCCCCCAAGTTTTGAGCTATATTATTCTGGCGCTTATTGATATGTTGTACTGTTGTTTACTTACCCATTTTCAGTTACTTTATTTCACTGCAGTTTGTATTTGTTATGGTGAATTATGAAGTGATAACAACTATTTAAAATTCCTCTTGTTCCCAAGTTCTTCACTTTGTGCTTTGTCTGTTGGGCAGCTATTCATTTAAGACAAAACAATTGGAAAACATTTGGGTTATATGGAGGGAACAAAAGAGAAAAGTGGTTGCTCAATATTTTATTTGCATAATTTTATCCTACACTTGACTAATGGAAAGCATTGTTACTAGAATTTGAAAGATTACTTAAGCTCAGATACGTTTGGTAATTGCACAGTATGTCTGTTCTGGAATCTACCATGTTCTGTAAAACTAAGCAATTATAATATTGCATAATGCTATAATCTTATAAAAGAGGAGAGCTTTCATCATAATTATAACTAAGAACTGAAATACATGATCAGCAGATACATGTTTTATTGTGGATATGTACCATTTGAGATGCTTCAGGGATGAATGTTTGTTCATGCACATTAAAAAAAAAACTAGCATGTTAAATGAGAAAGATGCTTTCTACTTTTGACATCACAGTTTTAATGTGTGGGAATATTCTTTTTACACAAAGATGCAAGTGTTCATTTTTCCACTTACAGCCTGCAGAGGAATGGCTCAGCAGCAGATACATCTGAGTGTATGAATGTGACTTTAATGTGCTCCTGCTTATGGTGGGCTTAATATCTCTCTGCTTGGATGTTGTTACTCAGTGGACTCTCACGATAATCCCAAGAGACAGCTGTTTTTTTAGAGGCATCTGCACAAGATAATACCAAAGATTGAAATCTCAAGTTAGGGGGATCCAATAAGAGAGGCTAATATTTAATTGGTAAAATATTTGAAAGAGAGAGAAATTCTAGAAATTCTAGGGAAATTATATATATATATATATAAAAAAAAAAATATTTCCCAGTGCCAATTGAGATGAAATTGTATTAGTGTAGTGTACTGTTTTATAACACTAAACATGTAGTGTTTTATAACATCCTTTAGGATTTCTTATGTTGTATGAATCGATGTTTGCAGATATTATGCCTATTGATATACGTACAACACCCTGACCACCCAAAGAGTTCTGAATATTTTGAGAAGCACTGTCACCTCTGGACTGTTAAATAAAGAAATGGTGCTGAAACTTTAGCAATCTACAGCTTTGTAATAACAATTTTCATTTCGAATATAGCATAACCATGGTCAATAATTAGAATTGAATTATAAATATTCAATCTCACATATCTCTACAGTTAGGAATTCTTGTGGTTAATTCAGGATTGTTATTATGAATAATGATACATTGTTACATCTGTAAGGAACCTCATACATTTTTTGCATCCACTTGCCCACTTTCTCAGGGTTACTGTATATTTTAACATTGCTACTCTGTAGCATAGATACATATAATTTATTTCTGCAATGCTAAACTATAAAGAATGTGTCAGTAGCTTATCTCAGTATCGTATTTCAGAATATATGGCTGAAAAAAACCTCAAGGATTTTTGGAATTGTAGTGCATTCTCAGTGACAGCATTTTAATTTTCCATATGCACAGAACATAATTGAGCTGCATTTACATGTGGTTTCTTTTAAACCCACAATGAACCCAGGGCACTTCAACACTCTTATGTATCTGTGGAGTCTCCTCACTTCCATTAATTGATCTATTGATCATGTAACAAATAAAATGTTGGTGGTGCATGCCTAAGTGTTTCAAAGCAAGTATTTGCTGTACTTCAAAGGAGTATTGTATCACATTGTTACCTGAGTCTCAGACTTCGCAAGATGCATTAATGGTATTCTGAAAAACAGGCTTCCAGAATAAAACAAGCTGGTTGCAATGACAAATTCATAACAAAAAGTAAGGGATAGTTTTGAAATGCTTTCTATAACTTGTGTGGTATCCAAGTGCCACTCCATTTTTGGGTCATGGGGTTATTTGTGAAATAAATGAAATGTTAGATCTTTAATTTCATTTAAGATTTTACTATTCAAGTATGCTTCACACTAATTTGAGGAGCACCAAGGAATAAGAAGGTTGTGCAACATCTGATCAGTGTATTCGTGTTCTGTTTGGATCTCAGGTTCACATGAATGTGAACTTTCTTTAGAATATTGTGAGAGGAGGGGCAGCTGTACTAGTTTTATTTAATAAAATTTATTCTCCCTGTAACTGATTTCTTTATCCAAAACAATCAGCAAAAAAACCAGGGTAGCGAACTTTTAAAAATGTTTTTATTTCAAATTAAATTACTAGGCAGAGAAATACAAACTAGAAATGGATTAAGTTAAATTGAGAATTCCTTATTATTTTGAAATATCCCAGTTTTAATTTTGTAATTTATCCAGTTGTATTATTTTTTTAACGTACTGGGTTATACTGCATTTTATTAACATTGTGTACATACTAACTGCTTTGTGTTTCAGAAGCTAGTAATTGCTTTATATTTTAAAGTGATCTTTGTGAATTTGTGAAATACTGTCATAAAGTGCTTTTTTCTTACTGTAAAGTTTGTGGTATAAACTCATAAAACTCTTTTTACACATCTATGTGCGGATACATAAACCTGCTTTTAAAATCCTTTTGAAGTCTCTTTTTTCAGATGGGATAATATATTAATATATATGGGATAATTTAGTTGAGACTAAAATATAAAAAGATTAAGCATGTATTTCTTCAAGCAGGAATGCAAAGATGCAATTGGCACAGACCACGTGCAAAGCTCCGAATGTTTTTTTCTTATTTGACTATTTCATAAATACATCTTTTAACTCCATCTTGTTTTGCTAACATGATTTGCCATCCTGTCCTTTCCCTGCCGCACATCTGCCCTTCTTGTATCCACCATTCTTTCCATAACACATTTCACCTCCTTCCCTTGCCATACTTAGTTGCATTTGCATATATTTTGAGTGTATGAATGCATGTATGTGCATATTGTAAGTGTGATTGTGTATACATGAGTTTTAGTGCACATGAATACTTCTGTTTAGCTTTTTAAAAATGAAATATAATAGCCTTAGAAATGTATGATCTCAACCTGTTGGAATTTGCATTCCCCTATTCTGGACCATATCTTTATTATTTCTATTACACAATGAGAAAAATAATTTTTCTAATCAAAATAATATAATTATTATGGAATGCTCAAAAAACTGAGTCCATGTCCTAGAATATCAAATGCAAGGTGCTGTGCTAAATATGAAAATCTATAAAATTCTGCACAGGACAGAACTTTATTATTAAATGGGCTGTCTCAAAACAATATTTGATCAGTTTTTAAGCATTTTGGTGCTACAGTAGAGTGACCCATTATTAAAGGACTCTGAATTTCAGTTCAAAATATGTTTGGCTTCTAGAATGAACCCTATAATCCCCTGCATGCAAGTAATACCTTTGCATATGGATTCCTTAAGATTGGAGAAATGTACAATAACAAGTTGGGTATCTGCTTATTATGCCACAAAGGAGCAATTTGATTTTAAGATCCACATTCTCAAAATAAATTTTTGGACAATACATTCAGAGGGTGCGTTTCACCCACACAACCTCTATAAAATTTGCCAGAAATGGGAAGATACAGATCTTCAGAGAAACACTTGGAGCGAGTTCAGATTCTGCTGTGTAGTGGCATCATGGCCTTATGTTACAGATTTTTTTAATACTTCAATTTTATGTTTAAGCTGTTCGTCTTTACAAATGGAGTGGTAGATAAATGAAAATCATCTGATGCCATTGAGGTAGGTGCTTTATTAATGCTGTGCAGGTTTGGTAGGGAAAGAATCAGCTTTGATTCAGCCCTGACAAACAGTGGGTCTGGGGTTTAGAGATCTAGTGTCCAGTGATTTTCTATGGATAACCCTGGAAAGGATCATGCTCCCAAGGTCAGGGTTAATGTGAAATCTGAAGGTTCTAGATTTATAGCATATACTTTGGGAGCAGGTGACAGCTGTCCACGATTACATGTGCACTATAGTTGTGCCTACTCACAGATCAAGAAGCACTACTTATGACCACTCATACCTTAAGTCACTTCCTAACTGAACTGTAGCAATAGAGTCCTTGGGTCTTGAAGAGCATTTGTAATCTTCAGCTGGCCCAAAACAACGGTTCATGGAGTTGCATTACAATAAGCATCCATAAAATACCCCCCACCCCCCAGTGAATGCAATTGACAATGCTGGTTGTACTTTTATCTCAGAATACATTTTTATTAGGTTATAAAATAGTATAAAATACAAAAGCAAATAAGAGGACAATGAAGAGAAAGGGGAGAGAAAAGTGAGGAGAGGTAGGGAAAGAAAAAGAAACATTGACTTCTAACTCTATCTGTTGCAGTAGAATAAGGCATTAACAACAAATCACAATTTTTTGTTTTACCATAATACTATGAACCAGTCACTTCTACAAGTCTTATCAATCTGTAAAACCTAAAATCAAAGTTTCATTCTCCGCATCAAGCACCAACTTCAGAAGCTGTTTTCATGTGGAAACAAAAGTATTTATGTTCTTTGTGCAGTCAATATTGCCATTTCAGCCAACTCCATCAGCTTCCACAACCATTCTTCTATAGTAGGAATCCAAGTGTCCTTCCATGTTTGCATGCTGGTCGTAGCTTTAAAGGCTTGCATGGCATGGAGCCAGGATTTTTGCAAGACTGCCTACTTCCAATAGTTTCTGCCTGTCCCACTAGGATCAGGCTGAGTGGACATGCTCCAGAACCCATCCATGAGGCCATGCCACCTTGGGGGATCTAAGAAATAGCCCTGCTGCTCATGGTATTCTCATGGAGAAGTTTCAAAGGGATATAAAGACCTGGCTCTTTCCCCAGACTTGGATAGGGATATTGGGTAAGTTGATAGTCATTTCATTCATAAATTATATAGTAAATTATTATTTTCTGATAATCTGAAGTCACAGTTGCCAGTTGTTTAGCTGGTGTTGGCCTTCATATGCATCAAGTTTTTTTCCATGAACCTAGGAAGTTGTAATGTATTGTGCAGATCCAAGCAGTGGATTTTTGCAACTGACAGATGGAAATTTTGTCAATGTGCAGATTTTATAATATATTAAGGTCATGTTTGTATTGAAGTGTTAAAACCCTGGAACCACATTGTTCACTGAAAAAGATGTTTTCAAAATGTAAGAAACAAATTTATTGACAGATTTTATAAGTGCCATCTAAGATTTTTTGGAATGGCATCTGTATTATTATGGTTCATTGCATAGTTTAGATTGATTTGGCATTTTTATCCACCTATCGAGTAATTCTAAGAACTTGGGATAGGCAGATGTTCTTGACTATTTTTTACAAATAGCTCAAGGCAGCAAACATACCCAACACACTTTCTTCTTCCTGTTTCCCTCATAACCACCCTGTGAGGTGGATTGGGCTAAGAGTGAGTGACTGGCGCAAAGTAACCCAGCTGGCTTTCATGACTAAGGTGGGATTTGAACTCATGGTCTCCCAGTTTCTAGCAACAAAACCACTAGATCTTTTCCTCCACTGAGTTTGGACTTCTCTACTCTTACAATATATTCACTTCTAACCTTCATCACTTCTTTGTTCTTGGAAATTGTCAACTTGAAGGGTGGCACATTTGTCCAGTCCAAACTCCACTGCAATGTTTTTGCTGTATATATAAACAGTACTGAGTGGTGATTCTATTATAACTTCTAATTTATTATTTTGATAATGTAATATTCAGAGCCCCAGTCGAGTTTCTTTTAAACTAGATTTGTATATTTTGGTAGATGGGCAGCTATATAAATTTGTTAAACAAAGAAAACATTGTATAAGAAATCATACTAATTATTTCAACTGATGCAGCAGTGACCCTTTTCCACATTCCACTCCCCATGAAGAGATGATAGAAAAATCTAATTTGGTACCCAGTCACTTAGGGAAACTTGGCAACAATTACAGCAGCATGAGCAAAAAAACCCTATATTACTCCCTTACCTTTCTGCCTGCCCACCTTGACCTTCTTATTAAACACTGGTTGCTGTCTGGAGCAGTGGTTGCCAACCAGTGGGCTGGGGACCACTGGTGGTCTGCGAGAAAATTTTGGTGGTCCGCAGAGAAATGTCAATCCCCAAAGCAATTAATCCTGGCTGCACAGGAACACAAGGCTGCACTTGCCCACATGGTCCGCAGGAACACAAGGCTTGTGTCACAATGCAAACAACACGAGGTAGTGAGGGGAAAGGGCAGAGGAGGGGAACTTGCCCCACTCACCCCATGGACCTTGCCTGGGCACTGGGCTGCTTCTTTTGCTTTTGGCTGCACACAAGCAGCAAAAATCTCTTTCTCCCCCACAAACTCCGCCAGAAATGAGTCTTTGGGACCCTGCAAGGCATCCCGCTTCAAGAGGCTGCGCTGGCGCGACAAGTATCACAAAGACTCATTTCTGGCGGAGTTTGGGGGAGAGAAAGATTTCTGCTTCTGCTGCTTTTCTTGCATGAAGCCATAAGTCTCTCCCCCGCCACCGAGAATGGAGCTAGAAACGGTATCCTGCAATCCCAAAAAAAGAATGATTGGTAGGAAAATGGAATGGGGAATTTTCCTGCAGACTTTTTGGGGGATTTTCCCAGGGTCTCAGGTCCGCGGGATTTAAAATTATGAGTTTGGTGGACCCTGAAGTCCAAAAGGTTGGCGACCTCTGGTCTGAAGGACCATTTTAAAACTATGTGTGTAAATAACTGCTTTTAAACTGCTGTTAAAGATGGCTTAAGTCCTTAAGACATCTCTCAGTGCCAAGTGACAAAAATGAAATTAGAGATCTAATCAAGTAATTTAACCTTGGTAATGCACCACAGACTGTTTTATCTATACATCCAACATAGACCAGTTGGCTCCGATACTCACTTCTTTGCCTGCATTTATTGACTGCAAATGTGGTTTCTAAAGATTAGGACTTGCCTTAATAATTACCAAGAATATTCAATTTCATCAACAACTGTCTTTTCCTCTTGACCCTTCTGGGAATGCACCACCTAGCCAGACACTTTGAAAGAATCCTTGGAAACCTTGGACAGAAAGTTGAAGGAAGTGTGTGCACAATAACTGGGAGATAACTAAGCTAAAATATTTTTGCAAGTGTGTACTTTATGTTCTTCATGAAAATGAAACTGTTCCCAATCTCACAAGTGTAACTGATGATAAAAGTGTTTGAAATGATGTAATGTGAAAAGCAATTCTAAAAAATGGCTAGTCACTTAACAACCATTCAAAGTATTGATCTGCTTTAAAAAAAGGTTATGACCTGTCCATGCAGTTACCGCCACCAGTTATAGTTATGCACAACTTTTTACAATAGTCATTAAGCAAATCATGACATCATTAAGTGGTTGAAGTGCAAACCCTGTTTGGACATTTTCTGCTGGAAAGCAGCAAAAAAAAAATCACAAAATGCTATCATGTGGCCACGGGATGCTGCCACTGGTCATAAAATGTAATCACATAACTTGGGGGCTATCTGTACATTTCTTTGACATCCCATGTTACTCATCCAAGAGAAGCCCCATCTTTATCCCAAGCCTTTTTCCTGAAACAATTTCTTCTTTCAAATATATGTCCCCTTTTGCTTTCGCCTGTATTTACTGAGGAAGTTCTATGAATTGACCAGTTGACTGAAACAGAGAGAAGTACTGAATGTGGATAATTAGCCCATTTATCTTGTGACCATATACAGCTTTTCAGTTATTTCTTCAAAAATAAATTGATAGATTGCTATCCATTGATGGCTCACCTGATTAATTCTTTATTTTAACAATGAGTAAATCAAGAAGACAGTATTTATAGGAAACTCAGCCTAATTAACTCCAAATAACAAAAAATAGATTAGTTTCACTTTATTCTCATGAGATGTTGTATGGAAGGTTTTGATCCAAGTATTGGGGCAATGAGAAGGAAAGAGAAGACATGAGCTGGCAAGAATTCATGATCAGACCAATCACAAATCTCCCTTCAGGACATGCCTCTGTGCTCTAAATATATGCACATCATTACCAGGGTCATAGAGCACTTCATGCACTGTAAACTGTTCTCTAAGCATCTTCAGGAAATTCTGGTCCCGCTCATAGCGGAGGCGGCATGATAACAGGATTATAGTCTCAAAAGAGCAGAGATAATTCAGTGTCTGAAGAAGGTCTGCAAATGTTTCTTCTAGGTAAACTATGTCTGCACCCAAGATAATATCATATTCTCCTGGAGAAAAGTCTGCCAAATCTTGTCCCCAGGTAAGTTCCTTTATTACTGCTCTTGACTGAAGGTTGACAGGTAAATTAGTTTGCACATTTGCTTCAAGTAAGGGCAATGTTGGCTTTCGGTCTGTGATTGTAACTTGAGCACCTAAGAAGAGAAACACGGAGGACTGTAAAGAGAATCCTTATTAGAATAAATCTAGTTAAGCAATATTCTAGGAAAACTCAAAAATAAGTGTGTGCATCCTTTTTGTTCCATTAATATTAATAAAGCTAAAAGGAAACTATACAATTTGAGATCCCTGTTAGACACCAAAATGAATTGTTAGCCTACACCAGCTCCAGTTTCCAGAGTAACTTACCAAGTAACACAGCTACAATTCCAAGGAGGCCTGTCCCAGCTCCCAACTCAATCACCCTGCGTCCCTGCAGATCAATGCCTCCTGTCTCCAGGAAAGTGCACAAGACCACTGCCTAGGTCAGGAGGGGGAAAAAAATCTAATTAAGAATACTGATACAAGTCCAGTCAGATAATAGCATTTCTTCTGTCACCCGTATGACAAGCTTGTAAAAATGTTTTAAGCACAAGATGTGATTTTCAAGCCATCAAGTGGAAGTGGCAGCTGAATCTCAGAGCTTTTATTATTATCTTTATTTTGGGGCTTTTAAATGTGCATATCTAGTTTTTATTTTTTAAGAGTGAAAGATAGAAAATTCCCAATTGAAATGAGAACGCAGGCAGAAGTCACCTTCCCAATGGTAAGAGGAGGGCTAAGGGGATAGTCATCTATTCCTGCGCTTCTGGTGTACAGATAGTCCTTGACTTATGAACATTTGTTTATTGGCAGTTCCAAGTCACAAGTGATGAAAAAAGTGACTTACGGCTGGTCCTCACTTTCCTGCAGCCACATGATCAAAATTTGGGTATTTGACAAATGGTATATATTTACAGTGGTAGCAGCATCCTGGGACTGATATAATTGTTATTTGTGATCTTCCAAGGGAGCTTCCCACAAAGTTAAAGGGGGAAGTCAGATTCATTTAACTACCAGGATAAAAAAAGGTCATAAATTAGACTCAACTTATTTAATGACTGCATCACTTAGTGATGGAATTCCAGTCCCAATTGCAATCATGTCAAGGGCTACCTGTAAGTAAGTGATATACTCTTCTACTGAGCTATGTAAGAAGTACAAATGACTTGATTTCTTTATGACATTTTGACAGTATGATTAAGTATAAGCATATGTTGGAGGGTTAGTTTGTTCAAGCACCTTTTCTTCAGGAAAGAATTAATTTATACAAAATTCATCTTGCTTCCCTGATGCTTACCACTTTCTAGAGCAGATGAAATTTGCAAACTCGTGCCCCCCAGGCCAGATGCATCATGTCCATGCCTGGTTTAACAAAGGGGGGGAAAGTCACGATAGATCATGTGACGACACCATGACGACAAGAGTTTGACACCCCTGTTCTAGAGGGATGATTGAAAGTATCCTGTCATTACTGTGTGGTTTGGAGGTATTACTGTTTCTGACAGGACGGCTATGAGAGAGTGGTAGAACAGATTATTAGTTCACTTCTTTCTATTCAGGATATAGCATATGCTTGACCAGGGTCCACAGTTATTGTCAGGGATCCTACACACTATGTAGATTTTCTACTATGTATTCTAAAAAATTTGTGATTGATCACACACACACACGCACGTGTATGTGTGCGCGTGCATGTATGTGTGTGTATATATGTATGTATATATACACATATTCATATTTGTTTTCTTAAGTTCTCGTGGGTACTTGTATGGTATTCAGCTTTGTTCAGGTATTTTCCCACATCATTATAGTTGTGCTTTTTAAATCTCATCTGCCATCATCAGGCTTCAGTATTGTGTTCATCTGTGAGTCAGACTTTCACAGTCGTTTCTGTTTTAAATTTGGGGCTAGCCTACTGCTGTGCCAGAATGGTTTTTTCTTCATCCTGATTGGTTGGGAGTCTTGGTCTGTGTTTATTGGTCTTGGAGTTTGCTGTGTTCTGCTTGATTGGTGTTTCTAATATCTTCTGTCTGTTTTGTGGCTTTTTTTTTTCTTGATTGGCTGGCAACACTGTGTTCCTGTATTGGAGGCTTTTAGTGCGAATTGGCTCTGAGTAAATGGATGGCAGATGAGATTCTGCCAAAACGTTGCTACAACTTTAAAAGCACAATTATAATGACGTAGGAAAATACCCGAACAAAGCTGAATACCATACATATAAATACCTGTGAAAACTTAAGAAAACAAATATCAGACCTCTACAGAGAGGAAATAAACAGCCAGACCAAAATCTATGAGAAGCTGGAAGCTAAAAGAGCAGGAATACTATGTGACCTCAAATTCCTACACAGCTGCAGAGACAACAATGCAACACCAACCTGCTTCAAATTAACATTTCATCACAGCACAGCAGCTACTAAATATATCCTGAAAAGAACTGAAATGGCTCTACTCAGGAATGAGCTCCACAGAAAGAGATTCCAATTGGATCAGTTAAACAAAGATTTGCTAACACTACATCTGGACTTGAGCAGCAAAATCCACCCTCTACTTTGGGACAAGATAAAACAACTTACAACTTGGAGAGCTGAAACTGAAACCACTTACAAAAATGACAAACTCTTGAAGAAACTAAAGAAATTAGAACATGACAAGAAAGCCCCCAACAATTCACAACAACACCTGAAACAATTAGTATATAACGTTTTGAACAGAGAACTCACCAAAACAGAAACAGATGTCCTAACCAAAGGATTCAATTATGCTACAGCACCCCCAAAAATTCCCACAGAATCCATCATATGTGCAGTAGAATCCAGCCTAACTAAATTAAATACAGATGAAGCTGATAGAATAAGACACCAAGTTACTAACATCCTATGCACAAGCAAACCACCCAAAAGCAACTTGCACGAAGAGAAACTAAAAGCCCTAAGGAATGACAACAGCATAATCATACTTCCAGCAGATAAAGGTAATGCCACAGTAGTAATGGAAAGAAAAGACTGTGGAACAAAATTGACAGACCTACTCCACGACTCCACATACAAACCGATAAACACGGACCCAACCACATATCTGGAAAAAATAACCAAGAAGAAAATTATAACCAGCCACATGAGCAAAGAGATCTAACAGACGATCATCCCAAGAGAAAAATCTTCCAGATGCCCCAAACTATACAGCCTCCCAAAAATACAAAAAGAAGGCATACCTCTCAGACCTATAGTCAGCTCCAGAGGAGCACCACTAAAAAACCTAGCTAAACACTTAGCAAAGCAGCTACAGACCCATGCTGAAGCAGCAGCTTCACATGTACAAAACTCATACCACTTCTTGGAAATGATCAAAGATCTACACGTGAAACAAGAAGATCTGCTTGTAAGTTTTGACGTGGTTTCACTATTCACTCAAGTCCCGATAAAAGAAACTCTTGAAATCATCAAAAATAAATACCAACCAGCTAAACACCTCATGGAACTAGCAGAACACTGCTTAACCAACACATATTTCATATACAAAGAACAAAGATACAAGCAAATTGAAGGAGCCCCTATGGGATCACCACTGTCACCCGTCATTGCAAACCTGTTCATGGAAGAATTCAAATCCAGAGCCCTAGCTAATGCCACCCACAAACCCAAACTATGGTTAAGATACATCGATGACACATTTGTGATTTGGCCCCATGGAAAAGAAAACCTAAACAATTTCCTAACATACCAAAACAGCACACACCCCAAAATCAAGTTCACATGGAAACGGAAACAAACGAACAACTACCATTCCTAGATGTACTAATCTACAAAAAAACAGATGGCACATTAGGACACACCATATACCAGAAGAAAACACACACCAACCGCTACCTCAATGCCCAATCCCACCACCACCCAGCACAGATAAACTCCGTGGCACTAGAAGAATAAGTACCCGCCTGGACGAACACAAAAATGCAGTAAAAAATCTGGAACACACTTCCTCACTAGTCCAACACATGAAAGCCACAGGTCATAGCATCGACTTCAATGGCACCAAAACCCTAGCCGCTATAGAAAACCCCAGCCACAGAATTATCAGAGAAGCCATAGAGATTGAAAAAAGACCCGAAAGCATGAATAGAAGAGATGACTCCACCAGACTGTCAATTATTTGGAAGCCTGCACTCACAAACAAAAAAAATCTCCACACCACAAGCCAGGCAAACACCTGGGCACAAACAGATCCCCCATGATACCTCCAGCTCAAACACACCCCAACCAGGCACCCAGATGAAACCTAGCTTCCTAACAAATGATAGCCATCCATTTACTCAGAGCCAAGCTGCACTAAAAGCCTCCAATACAGGAACACAATGTTGCCAACCAATCAAGACAAAAAAAGCCACAAAACAGACAGAAGATATTAGAAACACCAATCAAGCAAAACACAGCAAACTCCAAGACCAATAAACACAGACCAAGACTCCCAACCAATCAGGATGAAGAAAAAACCATTCTGGCACAGCAGTAGGCTAGCCCCAAATTTAAAACTGAAACGGCTGTGAAAGTCTGACTCACAGATGAATACAATACAGAAGCCTGATGATGGCAGATGAGATTCTGCCGAAACGTTGCTACAACTTTAAAAGCACAACTAGAATAACGTGGGAAGCTGAATACCATACATATTCATATTTATATATCGCATGCATTTATATGTGTGTATGCGTGTGTACATACACACACACTTTTGAGAGCGGGCATCAGACTTTCATTTTTTAATGTGTGACAATAAAGTGACAATAAAGTTTATCTCTTATCTTAATATCATAGTGCTATATAAGGAATATCTTTAAAAATTTCCACAGTGACCAAAATTTATTCTTAATGCAGTTCTAACTAATCTTTTTTTAAATGGATATCTTTGAAGACCAAATAATTCAGTGCTCAGAAATAGATATCAGTTTTATCACTTTCTTTCATACCCAAATAAATACTTTTAGCAAGGCAGCAAGAATATAAATGAGAATATTCCATAAGGCTATAATCCTAGATCCATTTATAGGAAATGAGCCTCTATAACAGCATAGAAATTCTAGTAAATATATACTGTAATGTTTTAATTTTCAAACTTTAGAGAACTATTTTTCAGCAATAGAAAATTATTGACACTTATTAACCAAGTGTCTTCAACACTAGGTGTTAACAGTTGTCAGAACATTGTCAATTTCTGTAACAATGTTATGACAAGTTAAGCAGATGACAAACTAAGAACTACCTCCACAAAGTAAGCTATAGTATCTCTTGGAGAGCCATGTTTTGTATCATCATAATTAAATTATTTTTAAGTAGACAGATAACTACTGTATTTTTCGCAGAATAAGGCATACTTTCCACCGCCTCACCAAGAGTGGCTAGAAATGTCTGTGCGTCTTATAGAGCAAATGTTGTCGAAGCTCTGCCCACCCGCCAGCCCCCACCCTTAGGCCTCTGCCTCCCAGCAATTTGCCTCCTTGCAGCAAACAGCCTGGTCAGCTTCAGCACAGCCTGATTTAGCATGAGCAGCTGATTGGCAGTTGGATTGGCCTCCCGGAATGCTGCCAATGAGCTGTTCCAGGCTGTGGGGATCGCCACCTCCGCGCACTAGAGGTGGTATTCAGCAGGTTTTGACCAGTTCTGGAGAACTGGTAGCGGAAATTTTGAGTAGTTCACAATACCACCTCTGACTGGCCCCGCCCCTATCTATTCTCTGCCTCCCAAGTTCCAGCTGATCGGCTGGATCTTTTGTTGGCCTGCACAGAACGGAGCTGGAAAGCAAGTTAGTGGGGTGGGGAGAGAATGGAGATTTTACAGTACCCTTCCCCTGGAGTGGGGTGGGAATGGAGATTTTGCAGTAGCCATCCCCTGCCACGCCCAAGCAACACCCACCAAGCCATGCCATGCCCACCAAGCCATGCCCACAGAACCGGTAGTAAAAAATTGAATCCCACCACAGCCACACACCCCATTTTCAGCCTCCATGTGCCTCATTTTCAGCCCATTCCTGGCAGCAGCAATGGGCAGTGATCCCCACCGCCTGGAACAGACTGAAAATAGGACGCACAGAGGCTGAAAATGAGGCACACAGAGGCCGAAAATGGAGCATGTGGAGGCGGCAATGGGGAGTGGCAGCTGTTCAGCCTGGAACAGCTGATCGGCAGTATTCCAGGAGGCTGATCCAACCGCCAATCAGCTGCTTGTGCTAAATTAGACTGTGCTGAAGCTGACCAGGCTGTTTGATTTTTGCTGCAAAGCAGCAAATTGCTGGGACGCAGAGGCAGATTTTTTTTTCTTGTTTTCCTCCCCAAAAGCTAGGTGTGTCTTTTGGTCTGAAGCATCTTCTAGTGCAAAAAATAAAGTACATTAATCCCAGCCTACGCCTCTGCCTAAACATCATTTTTTAAAAAAATCATATTTTACTTGTTTTATTTACTTCATCTTTATTTTGAAATAACTCAAGGCACAAAACATACCTAATGCTCCTTCCTCCTCCTATTTTCCCCACAACTATGTAAGGTGAGTGAGCTGTGTGTATGTGACTGGCCCAAAGTCACAGGACTAGAACTCACAGTCTCCTGGTGTCTATCTGAAGGAAGATTTTGGGGGCAAGTTATAGGGTCTGTTATTGATCTCAGCTATTGGTGATTGCTGGTTGAAAATGGAAATAGAAACAGATTCAGCTCCATGTTAGGGAAAGACTTTAAATCTAAGCTCCAATTCCAGTGGAAAAAAAACAATAGGAATCTCAATTAGGAATGTGCAAATTCTATCATTCCATGAATATTACATACTTGTATTTTTCAGAACTTTTTATTGTGCAGATTCCAGGCATTCCTACAATAGTTCAGTAGCCTTCCAGAAGTAGAAGGAGAACTGGAGGTGGTTTACAAAATTCTGGATATACGCAGAATTAATTATATTACTATCCTCTCAAAAAAGGTTGCCACTGGAAATTTTGGAAAGGATGGAAAGATAATTATAGTAGGAAGGAATGGAAAATCTACACCAGCCTTCCTCATTCTGATGTTTTTCCATTTTGGGGGCTGATGAGAGTTGTAATCTAGCTAATCTGGAAAATGTCAAGTTCCCTATCAAAACCTTAGCAAAACATTTGGATGAACCACTCAGCCAGAGGCTCTCAGACACACAATATTATAAGGTTAGATAAGAACTGCACTGTCCACTAGGATTAAGCCAAATAAAACAGATAATTGCCATCTGCCATGGGGATTAAATGCAAATTATCTCTTATTATCCCTAAACCTGGCAGTTCAAATCTATTACCTATTTCTTTCCCTATATAATTGATATCTCTTTTCTAGAAAGCATAGCTTGACTCTCAGATGGTTGGAAAGATAAATGAGAAAAAGTTCTCCAAAGCTTCAGTTAAATAGGCTATATCATTTTAGAATTCTGCCACTTTTGTTTTTGTTGAATACAGTAAATATTATGCCCACAGAGAAATATTAGTTCAATTGCTAAATGGCCATGTCCAATTTCTTCAGACCTTCTTAGTGAACCATTACAACTCTCCACAAATGAATCAATGAAATTATACGTACCGCATCCCACACCACAGCAGCTATTCCCAACTGCGTCCAATTCTGCTTAATGTGAATTGTATGGTTGGCAAAACAGAACGTAGAGGAAGATTTATGTAACTTCTGCATACCCCAAAGAGCTGTGCTGTCATAAGGAACCAAAGCCATCTCTTTGCCTATCAAACCAGGGAAAGATACAGAACTGAAAAACCTTTCATGTGAAACCCATTCACAAGAATAAAGATTTATTCTTGTCCAACTTTACTCAATTTTAGTTCAGATTCATTCCATTAAGAAGACAATAAAAATGCACACCCTGAAAACTGAACTCCCAACTGTACTCTAGTGATGAAAACCAGGCTAAATGTATTTATTTATTTATATATACACACACACACACAGTAAAGTTATTAATTTATGGTAATTGTTCGAATATGGTTATTGATATGCACTCTCATATTCCGGGTACTATGTTCAGCTGTTGACTAGTTTTCATATTCCAAAGAATGTAAAAGTTATTAATCTAATAATGCAATCAAAATACAAACATTAAATATACATATAAATTTGGACCCTACATGGTGCTGCCCTTAAAAAGCATTCAGAAGCTAACATCATTGAGAATATAGCAGCTCCAGCAGTCATGAGTACGCCCATTTAACATCACCACTGCAAGAATGCTAACTAATTATCAATTAATTTCTGGGCAAATTCAAGATGCAGCTGACATCCTTAAAGCCTTTCAGGACTCAGAATATGGATATCTAGGGGACCTCCTGTTCTCAGCAGGTTCCCTTTTTTAAAAAAATATTATTTATAGATTTCCAAGACTTGGGTCTTCTTGAGAAGATGCTGCCCATTCCTCTACAGCAGCATTCCCACGAAGATTCAACATACCCTAGCATTATTGAGATTTAGGAAACTATTAAACCTCATGATTTTAACAGTGCTCTGAAGGGTTCATTCCTTGAGAGGGATTTTCCTGTATAAGAATATACAACCCAAAGGAGATATGATTTATTTTAACATTTTTAATGGAAGGTAGGATTGTTAGCCACACAAGAGTCAGTTGATGGTTGGAGTGGCATGGAAGTCTCATAAAATAAATACATATGAAAAAATATAAAGAAAATGGGAATCATTTGACAGTTACTCCAATTATGGAATCCTTGATGCTCTCTGAGCTTGGTTGTTTGCTTGCAGACATTTTGTTATCACTCTGGGTAACACCCTTAGTGTTAGAAGGGAGTGAAGTTTGCTCTCTTTATGTAAGAACCTTGCCTTGTCAGGCATGTTTTCTCATTTATTTTTATTTTATAAAAAAGGAAGTTACATGAAACCATAAACAACACTTTCAAAGGAATGATTTAATAAGGAAAGAAAAAACAACGTATCAGAAGGCAACTAGCATGAGTGAAAAATCACAGCTAGCAAACCAGACAGAGAAAGTGCTCCTAATTCCCACTGCCAGCGAATTTCCAGAAACTCTCAAACAGTGCATACCTGATCCTTCAGAGGATCCTAAACTCTGCCAAACAGGGATAAGTATAGCTAAACCTTGAGCTGCAGAGCTACATTCCAGCCTCCTTTCTGCCATCCATTCCACAACAGGTGCTGGTTTAGAATCCCCACTTCTTTCCTAGAGTAAGATGGAAAGAAAAAAAAAGAAAACATGTACGGCTTATCCAGCATTCCCATTTAGGTAGCACAAAGGACAGAAAGGAAGGGGAAATCTTGAGGCATCTATGAGCAATCTACAGCTATCTTCCCAATGACACTTGGACCAAAAATTAATATTCTACTTAGGGTAAACCTATCCCATGTGGCTACTTTTATGTTTTGATGTATCTAAGGAACATAGAACATTTGGAAAATTGAGTTAGTTATGGCTTGATTAACAGTGGGCAAAAGTATCATGCTATTACCAGTTATCAATTGTTCTCAGAGTTTTTGATTTGCAAGAAAGGTGCAGCCAATTTTCCTTATTTGGCCATATTCCAATAATAGAAGAAGATGCAACTAGTAAAATTCTACCTAACTTTAAAGATATAGACTTGGTTATTGAGATATGTTTTTCATCATTCAATCAATTTTAACTACTATAGTTATTAACTCAAAAGGGATAAAATGAAGCATACTAAGGATTCAGTAATACAAAAGAACCATAATACAGGTAATCCTCGACTTACAAGCACAATTGAGCACAAAATTCCTGTTGTTAAATGAGGCATTCCAGTTAATTTTGCCCCATTTTATAACCTTCTTTGCCACAGTTGTTAAGTGAATCACTGCAGCTCATAAGTTGGTAACATGGTTGTTGAGTAAATCTGGCTTCCCCATTTATTTTACTTGTCAAAAGGTTGCAAAAGGTGATGACATGACCTTGGGAAACAGTCAAAAGTATGAACCAGCTGTCAAGCATCTGAATTTTTATCACATGATCATGGGGATTCTACAAACATTGTAAGTGTAAAAAATGGTCCTAAGTCGTTTTCAGTGCGATTGTTACTTTGAATAATCACTAAGTGAACTGTTCTAAGTCGAGGACTACCTGTATGTCTAACTTTATGAATCCTCATTACAAACAAACCAGAGGCAGTTAATCTGTCTGGGATCCTAGTCCTAGAACCAAAACATAAATTCTTAGGACATGCAATTAAAAAGATTGAACCAGATTCTTAATAAGATTTATAGTCCAAAAGAAGGATCTCCTGTAGTTTTGCACATAATCAAATGTATACATTTTAAGAATTGCATTATGCCTTTGAAAACAATTTGTCAGTGCTCTACCAGGAGAGCACTCAAAAGTGCAACATTTAAAAAAAATGAAACAATATTTAAGATACAATGCACATAACAAAAGCTCTGAAAATGTTAACAGGTTAGTGTAAAGCCCATAGTAGCATAAAAATGTAAAAAGTCAAAATACTACTGTAAGAAGCCCTCCACTCAGAGAAAGAAATATGCCACATCTCAAAACCCTGTAAAAATCCATGTACTTATCAAACCAATTTGTCAGCTGTCCCAGAACTGTTCTGCTCATCAATAAACAAGTCTTTCTTTTCAATCAGCCTCCATTTTAGTTGCAGCACCTTTCTCCCAGTTTGAAACCGAACCGGATTTTTCTTTCAACACTACCATATTCAAAGGACACTAGGAGAATAAAATCTATGAAACGTATGAAAGTATAATAAAGTAAGCTTGCCTGGTGCGTTCTGGAAAGAGTAAGAGTAATGGACGGATAAATCCTGAAATACAGAAGAGCAGAGGTGGTTAAACGGAGTCAAGATATCTTCAGTAGTCGCTATTAAATTTGTTTTGTTTGGCTTGGTGCGTTGCATTAACCCCTAATGTAGTTTGCAAATTACACGTTATGACCTGGTATTGGAATCTCCTAATTGTGGTTTAATGCAAGACACCGTGGTTTAGTGCAACACGAGACTACCATAGCTACCAGCCAAGAAATCGCGTAGGCTTACAACCCTACATTGATTTCCCCTTTCTCTTGTTGCTTCCCTGCAATGTTCTCCTCTCCCTTCTCCCAATCTTAGGTATTACTAACCCTAGAAAGGAACCCCCACCCCCAGCCTTCCCCACCCCTTCCTCACACAACTCTGAATCTACGAAGATCCTCCACTCGTCCTGGGCACGTGAGCACTGACGCTCCAGAGAAGCTAGCCAAGGGGGAGGACAGCCATAGAGATAGGAAGAAAGAGAAAAAGAAAGGGGCGCGTCGCTAACATGTCCCATCAAAATAAGAAGAAACCCAGACAGCGTTATGGACACACAATGCTGCTGCTGTACAACCTGACCTAAGATTTAGAGAATGTAACTTGCTTCGGAAGAGAGAAAATAATACAATGGATCATTAGTCAAGGGTATTTCTAACTTGTTTCTATCTCTACGAATACAGGCTCCTCTATGGAGACAATATCTACGGCCGGTCGGCGTACTTGCCTTCAATCTGAGCCGCCTCTTTCGGTTTGCATTCAGAAAAAACGTACCATTTATTCTTAACATAGCCGTTTGATCGTCTGTCTGTAAATATTGGTTAGGAATAGACGCCAATTCTCTAAGCTTGATTTTTGACTAACCGTGATTTTTTTCTCCTTTCATTTAATCGTGTCCGATTCTCGGAGACGATTCCAGACAAATCCCAGCAGTTTTCTTGGCAAGGTTTTTCAGACATGAGAGAGAGGCCGAGAGAGGCCAAGATCACAGCTAACTTTGTGCCCAAGGCAGGACTAGAACTCACGATCCCCCAGTTTCTAGTTACACCAAACTATGGTTAGGATTCCATAAATTTTATAAAATAAATGTCCAAGGGCAGAACAAGAAACAATGCATGGAAATTAATAAGAGAAAATCAACTTAGAAATAAGACATTTCCTGTTAAAAGGGTTAATCAATGGAATAGCTTGCCTTCAGAAGTTGTATGTCCTCCACCAGGTTTTAAGAAGAGTGGACAACCATTTGTCTGAAACAGTAGAGTGTTTCCAGCTTGAGCAGGGGTTGGACTGGAAGACCTCCAAGGTCCCTTCCAACTCTTTATTCTCTCATTCTGTTATATTAAATTCAAATTAAATGATAAGTGGGTAAGTATCCATTGAATTCATGATACTTTTTGTTGTGGATATTTGTATGTAATTTCAATTCTGCTGTCTTTATGTATCAAGTATAACACCCTGACCAAATAATTAAGAATATTGGAATATCAAGCAAAACACAAACATGTATTTTTACCAGCCATTTTTCTCCTAACTTCTAGAATATTCAGAAACATGTTTCTTCACCATTATAAAGTTTACTACATTCATTACATTCTGCTAAACTATAAACTGGCTACGTCTGTCCAAGAAACTACATAAACCATGGTTTATAAAATATATAGGCCACGTACGTCACATTTCTAGAGAAAAGGATTATACAGAGGAAGAGTCACAGAGGAGATGCTAATATTATTTTCTGATCAGGTTCATACTCATGTTTCCCATTAGTGGAAGAATCCAATTTGCATGATCACTGCTGAACCTGCATCACAGTTCTGGCACATCTGCCCACTAGCCTATGATGCTAAAAAGATCATCATTAAGGAATGAATGTATTCACCGCATAATAATGGTGAACTGTGGTCTAAATGAATCAGAACGGAGAGGGCATTACTTTTTTTTAGGTCAGCAAAGTAGAAATGAATGAAACATTTATTCATCAAGAGTGAAAGTTTTGCATGCTTTATTTGCTTCATTTTTAAAAATACTATCCTTGCAAGAACACAAATTTGGCCAATATCGAGTTATCACTATCTTTTAGATATGAAGTTGTAGCCAGAAACTGGGAGGGAGCAGTCTGCCACACAGAAAAGTAATAAAAATCTGCATATTAAAACAAGTTGTAAAATTGAGCACTCTTCAAAGTTAATTTGCATCTGTTATAACTTTAAATCCAAGATTTTGCTTTTAACACTTTGTTTCTTCAATCCCCTTAACATTCTTATCATTTTCTCTCAGTGTCTCTTTGGGTAACACTTTTTTTCTAATTTCTGCTTTTCCAAGCACCATATACATTTGAACTGAAGCTTACTGTCAACCCATCACTAATATTCCAATTTGCATGATCACCGATGAACTTGCATCACAGTTCTGGCACTTCTCTGCCCATTAAGGAATGATCAAATGCTCTGGGGTAGCAACTGACAGTTCCATGATGAAATCTGCAGGAGGGAGAGAATGTCCACCAACCTAGGTGTTAAGATCCTAGCTAGCTTTTAACAAAGCAAGCAACACAGCTTTTCAAGACCAAAGTGACTATATTTATTGATATGCAAACTTTCTCACATTACTTTTAAATACATTTTTGAAGAACAAGTCAGATCAATCATTTAATAAGATAAAATCAATTAAGTTTGGAATATGCAAAGATTGTCTTATTTGGGGGAGATGCTTAATCAAAGAAAACTTTGCCGAATGTTTTGGAAATAGAAGCCTATCGGCAGCTGGATTATGGGGCTTTTTTAGTATATCCACTTTGAGAGTTTATATGAATATTTTATCCCAATATTTATTTTGTGGTAGCTATTTAATTCTTATTTGGTCTAACTGCACTGCTTCTATTCAAAATACCATTCTAAACAGGTTTTCAAGGATTATCACTGGATACAGTAGCATTTATTTCTCTGTGTTTACTGTTCATTTTGAAACATCTTATTAAATTATAAAATACAAAAATACAAAAGCAAGTGGGGAGGGGAAGAAGAAAAAAAAGTGTTGGCTTCAGATTCCCTCTGTTGCAGTAGAATAAAGCATTTACACCGAACCTTAACTTTTTACTTTTCCATAATGTAAACTAGCCTTTTCTATAACAAATCAATCTAATCAGTAAAACCAAAAATCAAAATTTCATTTTTTTCCACCTTAAGCACAGTCTTCATGTAGCAACAAAAGTGCTTATATTCTTTTCTTTGATCAAAACGGTCAACTTAGCCATCTCTGCCAGCTCCATCAACTTCTGCAGCCATTCCTCCATGGTAGGAATCGAAACGTTCTTCCATTTTTGTGCATATAGTAGTCTTGCTGCCGTCAACATATAGAAATAGTAATAGCGCTTAGATACCGCTTTACAGCTCTCTCTGAGCAGTTTACAGAGTCGGCATATTGTCCCCAATAATCTGGGTCCTCATTTTACCATCCTCAGAAGGATGGAAAGCTGAGTCAACCTTGAGCCTGGTGAGATTTGAACTGCCAAATTGCAGTCAGCCAGCAGTCAGCAGAAGTGGCCTGCAATACTGTACTCCAACTACTGCGCCACTGTGGTTCATATAATATCAAAGCTCCCCTTTTTTTTTTCCTAAGCCTTTTTCCATTAATCCCAAAAGAAAAGTTTCTGGTTTCATCTTTATCTTCATTTTAAGAATTTTCTGTGTTAAAATATGAATCTTGTTCCAAAATTTCTTTGTTTTTATCTCTGTATTTACTGTTAACTGCCAGTGTTACATAATTATTTCTAATCCGGATTGTTATGATTGTTGGGTGCACAATGCACAGTCAAGCAGGTGGCAGCCTATCAATTGTATGTATTTGCATGTTGTGCCTTTTGAGTCCAATGTTAACTCCTGGCAACTGCACAGGCAAGTTCTTGCAGTTTTCTTGGCCAGGATTTTCAGACATGGTTTGTCATTGCCTCCTTCGTAGGGCTGAGAGAAAGTGGCTGGCCCAAGGTCACCCAGCTGGCTTTATGCCTAAGGTGACTAGAACTCAACATCTCCCAGTTCCTAGCGGGACTCTTAAGAACTATTCAAATACTACCGTAGGAATCTTCACTATTATACTGGGCCACAGGAGCAATCACCATACTTCCCTGTAACATTTTTTGCACTAAAGAATCCAAGATACTATAATTTTAGGGGGGAAACAATAACAATCAATGAGGTCTATTAAAATTACAGGATAGTCAAGTAATAACAAAAGCGGGGGGGAGGAGGAATGTGCACGCTGGGCCTGCTGTACTGGTCATGTTTACTTGCTTGAGTTGTGCCCTACTTTCTTTGGAATAAACTTCGATTCCTACAATGACTCCGGGGATGCCACATCCCTTCATTTTCTTAGGAATGCTACCTAACCGGCTTGCCACGCCCTTCTTCCAGCCCAGTCCTGGGATTCCCCGGAGACGTTCGCTCGGTCCATCGCTACTCCTCGGTTCGGAAAGCAGGCGCGGCGGGCTCCACTCTGCCACCTGCCGACTCTTCAGCAAGTGAGACCCGTCAGCGGCGATCACCGGGCCGGGCCCTTCCCAACGCAGCTGAGTGAAAGTCGGGGCAAAAACACGCCAGGCCATTTGGGCCAACGTTGCTATCGGCAGCCACAAAGGAGAACGGCTGAGCCGGACGGAAAAGGAGGGGCGTCCTCAAGAGAAGAAGAGATTGGCGTTCGGGATCGTTTCCGGCCCAGCCATCCTCTCCACTTCCAGTTGTCAGCACAGGCAAGAGATTCACCGGAGGAAGCGCGCCCCGCCCAGCGAGTATAGAAGCCCCGCCCCCTCGTCATCGCTCCCCCACCCCCGCTTCCTTTTCGAACGCTCAGAGGGGACGCAGCGGAGCCGGCCCCGCCCTGCTACAGAGCTTTAGGTGGCACCACCGGGGCTATCCCCTGGGACGGGACGGCCGTCGCGGTCACGTGAGGGCGTAAGGCGCGGGCCGCGATTGGCTGGTGGTCGAATGCCGTGTGAGAGCGCCGTCGCAGAGCTGCCTCTGGCGGAGACGGGGCTGCAGCCTCCGCTCTTCCTTCTCTGGTTTCTGGGCTCGCCCCACTGAGGCGGCGGCGGCGGCGGCGGCGAAGCGAGAATGGGACGGCGCTGATGTGGCCGGCGCTGCGGCTTCCTGCAGCCCCGCTCGGGCCCAGCCCAGGCGGCGCCGGCGGCGGCAGTAGTTCCGCGCCAGCATGGGCAACACCGTCACCTGCTGCGTGTCTCCCGGTGCCAGCCCGAAGCTCGGCCGGGGCCGCGGGTCTGCTTTGGGGGCGGTCGGCGGGCGAGCAGGGGCCGGGGCCGCGGCTGCAGGGCTAGAGCGGAGGGGTGGTGCTTACCGGGAGATCGCCGAGGCAGATTCGGGAGACTCGGATCCCGGCGGAGGGGGCCCTCACCTGCAGCACATCAGCGACCGCGAGTTCCCGGATGGTGAGTAGTGACAGCAGCGGCGGTGGCGGCTGCTGCGAGTACGTGCTGGCCTTTTCAGAAGCGCTCCCTCGGCCATCCCTCGCAGGCGGAGAGTAAGTGAGCCTCCGTTGAAAGAATTCGCGTAAAGCCCCGGAGTTACTCGAGGAAAATGGGGTTCGCGGGGAAGGGGGGGGATGTTTGTTTTCCAACCACTATACTTGGCCCACCTGGCTTCTGTCACGCTGAACGTAGAACATGGCCGGGTTCCCATTGTGGGTGTGGGACGGTCAACTTTCTGGAAGGAAGTGGTTGGGCCCGCTCAGTCATTAGGGTGGAGGAGATAACATTAACGTGTCTTTGTGAAATACAAAAGCTACACAGGCGAAATCATAATAAGTTGCATCCATTTACCAAAAAAAACCACATTTATAAATCAAAATATTCTCTTAAAACGGATAGGCAGTCATGAGTTAAAACAATATTGCCAACTTGTTGAGTTGAGACATCAACATGCTCTAATGGACTTGGGGGGAACAAATCTGGAGAGAGACCCCCCCCCCTTTCAGATCACCATTTGTTGGCTTTTTCTTGGTCATTTGAGCAGCAATAGCCTGAGTTGTTACAGTTATGTGCTTGGAGTTGTTGTATTTTTTTCTTCCAGAATTACTTTTGTTTCTGCTGCTGTACATTTTCATATGCATGGTAATGTAGCACTTGTGAAATGATGTCTTTTCATAGATTGAAATTTGCTTTTGGAAAGGATTCATTGATCTGCTTGAATATCCTCCAAATTTGTGGCAGAAGGACTTTCTGGAAAATATTTTAATTATATATTTGGGGGGGGGGAGTTGCTTGTACATCTCTGTAGAACAAGAGATTCCAGCTTCAAAGGATTTCAACATTTTGGTAACATTTAAGGTGAAGTGATTCCCAATATGCAGTTATATTAATAGTAAATTTATGATGTTCATGAAAGTCTCAGAAATTCAGTAGATTGAATTTATACTTAGTTATAATTGGAATTTGTCTAAATCACTGGGGCAGCTCCATCCTGCTCAGTAAATTAATAAACTCTTGTTTTGATAGTCATATTTTGAGCAAAATTGAATTTAAATGAAAAAACTTAACAGCACATAATTAAGAATCTGTGTATTTGACAGATAAAAAATGTTTGTCTATAACATAAAACACAATTTTATCTGATTTTCAGTTGGCTTCTTCAATTCAGATGCTATTTTTCTATATTTTGTGAAGTGTTATAAATTTTCTAAAAATATTGAAAACAGCAAAGCAAGAGGGTTTGGAACCTGATACTATTTTGACTGGATAATAGTGAAAATTATAGCCAAGCCAACAGTTGAGATACAGTATTTAAGTCACATTCTAATCCATTTCTTTTTCTTAACTCAAGATTAGATTGTTTTATTGTTAAATGAAGAGACCATTTTACTTTGCAAGGAAGCAGAAAATTGTTACTCTATAATGGAGACAAGTTTGGATATACATGCTAGTTTATGGCTATACATTGTTGTGCAATTTATAAATCTATTGTGGCTGGTTTATGTGGTCAAGCACTATTCAATGTGGTTACTGTATGATCTACTGTATCACAAAACCAGGAAATTGGATTAATTGAATACACTGGTTAATTTATGTCTCTTATATGGCTTATAATTATACCAGCCTTGTAATGTATTCTGAAACAACTTAGTATTGATAATTGATTTGGTAAAGTCAATATCATGAGTAGGACTGAAGGAAGTACACAGACTGTAATAAAGAAAATTAAGCTCTAAATTGATCAAGGTTCCTCCCTCTCCCCCCAAAAAAATCCCAGTTTCAAGATTTAACTAATTTTTACTTAATTCATGCTATGCAATTCAGAAATAAGAAAACTTTTAATGGGCAAGCATCATGCTTAATATTTTTGGAAGAACAAGGATTGCAGTAAATTGGAGAATTATATGATTGTTAGGTGCATAAGTGGAGTTAGAATATTTAGTTTTTCTTCGGTCGATTATGGGCAAACCACTTGGTGGCAATTCTCAGTGACCACATAGATTTTTCTCCATGATGATCTGTACCTGTACTGATTGGTCCTCCTTCTCCAGTGGTAGGATTCAACTATTTGTACCACCGGTTTGGTGGGCGTGGCTTGGTGGGCATGCTTCGTGCGTGTGCGCCAAATGTGCACTTTGAGCAGGCACAGAGGTGTTTGTGCGGGTGCAGAGTCGTTCAAACTCACCTGCAAGCCTGCATTCTCCCGGTCACTTCAGCAGCTGCCACGTGGCACTCTTCTGTGTCGCACAAAGCAGCTGCGCTTCAAATTCAGAGGATAAAGGTGAGTATGGAAGCCTGGGCAGGCGGGTGGGCCAACAGCAGAGTGGCGGAGAGAACTGGTTCGGTCTCCGCTGCTCATCGCTGCTACCGGCTTGGCAGAACTGGGCAGAACCGGTAGAATCCCACCACTGTCCTTCTCCTCTCATTCTATGAGAGATTGATATATTTACATAGTTTTCCAACAAAAGCCTATTTTACAGGTTTCACATGCATCTCTTTTCAAAAGATTAGGAATTTAATCACATTTTTTGTAATTTTTGCAATTCCAAAGTGACTTTGGGATTGCATGTGGTGTTAAGCCTTAAGATACCCACGTTTACTCTGGATTATGCATCAGTTTATGTAGATTTAAACAGAGTTACATGTACTGAAATATTAGACAGGGAGAATGTGTTGGTTTTTATTTTCTCCAATTTAATACTTAAATTTCAAAAAGGGGTTTGATCTTTCATGCTTTAAGACAGATGGTGCATTTTTTAAAAATGACATTTCTTAAAATAGCTGCATGCAAAAAGTATTCCAGAAACAGCCCTGACTATACTTGGATTAGATTAATTTTATAAGATGATTTAGCAACCAAGAGCTAGTGGAATGAGTAGAATGGTTTGTAGAAAGGATACAACTAATACTCTTTATTTGTGCTAATATTTATTTAGAAAGGTTTTCTACAATACAGCAGACTGAACTAGCTAAATTGTGCCAAAACCTTTCACATTCTTTTTTCATAAAATTCATCAGGAAGGAAACAACAAGGAAATCTTGGTTCTTTGATAGCAAGAATGAGGACAATATGTAGAAGAATTTATTCACCTTTTAAACTAGCAATATATGAGAAGTGATTTACTACTGAATTCAATATGTGAATACAATATTACTGATTAAGAAAATAGACGTAAACGCCTATACAAAACACAGTTGTACTTTTCAACTTCTACTGGTTATTGGTGAATTATCTTTGAACTGTTTTATGTATTAGCTGCTTTTGGTAATTATAAACTGGAGCATGATGAATATAAATTTTGTATGATGATTGCTAGTGTTGTACAGAATGTTTCCATTTTCTTTCCTATTCAAAATGTTCTGTTTTGAGCTTTAAAACTTGTCTTCTTTTTGGGGGTGCTTTGAATTCAAAGCAGTCTTAGTAAAAGCATTCCAAAATGATTGAGATGCCTTATCTGAATGCAGAGTAAGGTAACCCTTGATTTATGACTATTGAAACCTGCCTGTTACAGTCACAATGGCTGTTAAGCAAGGCATCCATGTGATTGCCTATCTTAACGACCCCATCGCTGCTCTCCCTTATGTGATTGTTAAGTGAAACATGGGATATCTTATAGGAGGCCTAGTGCAGGCCCAGGCTTGCACTGCAACACCTCCCTAGGGCACACATGGCCTACCCCAGGCTTCCCCAGGCTTCTCACAGCCCCTGAAGGATCCCCATTTCTGCTTCCTGCCACACTGGGTCATCACAAACCTTGGGCCAATGTTTCCACCCCACTAAGTCTTTGCAGGACTTGGGTCTGTTTCCCACTCTACTGGGTTCCACATCCTCCTCCCCCCTGCATCACAGATTGGTCATTTACCTTTTCAGTAGATCTCTTTCTGAAAGTAGCCCCTCCACCGTGTGACTCTTCTACACAGTGGAGGCCATCTGGCAGCATTCTGGAAGTGGAGACCCTTATAAGAGTGGCTGCAATGAGTTGTGGCTGCACCAAAATGGTACCTGCTTCCAGGACAGTGTCACATAGCTTTAAGGGAGGCCAAGGGACAATGTGACTGGCTCTCTTTTTCAAATGCAATGTTCAGAGCACTTGAGATTACATTCAAGAAGGAGAGTGGACTGATCCACCCCTTAGCCTCTCTATACAGTGGAGCTCATGTGGCATGATCATAGGTTTATTTTTTATCATTTAGAGTAAAGTTATAACAAGTCACAAAAATAAATCCCAATCATTACAGCAAATAATTGGTTTGGTTTGTTCTATTTACTGAAATTTAATATTTGTTTTCTTTAGGATGAAATTGTAAAAATGCAAGTGTTAACATTTTTAAAGCTTGCAATGATAATGGAAAGAAGTTTAAAATCCTAAACATAAACATAATATAAAACCAATTTTAAGTGGCTACTAAAACAATGCACAGCACAGAATTAAATATTGTAGGAAATCTATCATCTATCTATCTATCTATCTATCTATCTATCTATCTACCAATCAAAGCAAAATGCCACTCACGCATCACCATAAATCTCCAGAACTGTAAAGTCTACAAACTTGAAATTTAACATGTATATTCTCCTTGGCTTCTATGTGCTCACTAAGAAAGGATTTTTCAAAATGACCATCAGAGAATTAGTATTTTGTATATTATTATTAACACGCCCAGATGCTAAGGAGTTCTATTCCCCCTCCCCACCTGAAAAGAAATATGTTTCAAATGCAAAACACAAGCAAGGAGCGGAGTTTCAGTTTTAGTTTCACAGCACCAAGCAGCTTTAGTACAGAACAGTTGAGCTAAGCCAAGCCCAGGCTCCTTGCTGTCTCCTTGCTCACACAGCAAGTACTGCTTCACTTTCCAAACAGCCCTCAACTCTCTCACACACTGACAGGACGCTAGCCAGAGGAATACTGATGGATGCTGGTAGGCAGAGGCAGAATCTTTTCCCCTTATTTTCCTCCCCAAAAACTAACCCGACTACATAGCTTCGTTAGCGAAGCACGGGTATCAAGTTAGTAAAATAATAGTTTTCTTGAATACATATTATTAAGACAGAGAGAGAAAGAAATGTAAGATTCTAGAGTTACTTCAAAATTGTCAGTTGACTTTCCTGAATAGTACTATTTGGACAAAGTATGAAACATGGTAAGGCTTATCCTGCTCAAAGTAGATGAATAAAATTCAAGGTGTGCTTCAGAAGACACTTCTTAAAAATAGGTATCACAGTTCTATGACTTTTAACCAGTAATAACCAGAATAGAATCAGGATAGGCCATGTAAGAACTAAGACCAAGCTAAGTGGGGAATGGCTGAAAACCCTGTAATGTGACTGTGGTGCATTGAAACACATGATAACACATATTGTTCAAGAATGTACCCTCAGGAAATTTCAAGGCACCTGGGATGATCTCAGTGCAGCCATACCAGAAGTTGTTAAATGGTTAGCTTCTTTAGATATCGAATTATAACATGTATCTCATTGCAATTGTATGGCTCCATATTATGGTGATTTTATTATAGTTTTATATTAATTTAATATTTTACTTCCTATATTGTATTCTTCACATAGAGCAGCATTGGGGCCTAATGGTGAAGATGCTCACCTCCCACTCGGAAGGTTAAGTGTTCAATCCTTGGTAGCAACGGATATTTTTCTCTTTCAGAGTGCAAAGAGAAAATATCTGTTCAAACTCCATGTAGGTATCAGGAAGAGCATCCGGCCAGTAAACTCTCAGCTCCATCCAGTCTCATTAACTCTACCCTGAATAAAGGGATTACAGGGTCATAAAAAGAAGGGATTTTAAATTGTATTGTCTATATACCATATGTATATGTATATTTGCTGATGTTTTGTTCAACCTAAATTTATATATCAATGATTGCATGACCTCTGTAGATGTCATACACTAAATAAACCAGTACTACAAAATTATACTTTGGAGCTTGCTTCAGAAGCAGGTGCCATTTAGTATTTCCACGGATTATTATTTTTTATAAATCCTGTTTTTAGAATACAGATACAGTCATACACATGCTTGAAAATAAAACATACTGAATACTCTACAGCAGAATGAGCAATTAATTTTCCCAAGGGGAAACATGAGAAACTGGAATTGTTATGGAGGGACAAATAATAAAACTATAAAGGTTCTATAAACTATAAAAGTCATACATACACATAAATAAATTGGGGAAAAATAGTCACTTTAAAAACAAAAACAATGAAGTTGTATTGCATGAATGGCACACACTTATGTACATTTGATTTCTAATTACTGATTGACCTCACGCAGGCAGAACAGGGACAGATGTGGTCCTAGATCCGTAAAATGCCCAAGTCTATTTTATAACTTTATATTAACAAATGATTTCTAGATCCAGTTTTCAGATTGCCAAGTTAAACTGAATCTCAGGTAGCTAAACATTCCTATGAACAGAGAAAATAATTCGTTGATTAAGCAAAATTTTTCATACATTTAGCAAAAAGAATTGCCATTTAATTTCAGCCAGTGTTGAGTGATTGAACACAAACTGCCAAAATTCTATGGGTAGATTTTAAAAACATTATAGGAACTCAAGTTATTAGAACATGTTTGTTACTTGTTAGATAAGTTATATTGTTTAGTATTCTCTCTGCATGTGTGCAGAGAGTTAAATAAAAATAGTTGACTTTTCTTACATATCTGAATTTGAAATAATGCTCTTCTCTGTATTTCAATTTTATAAATATTGAATAAATATTAAAATATTAGGCTTTATACACTCAACACTATATTTCTTCATATGTATATCAGGATTTTAACATACTAGTCATGAATTACTGGAAAGCTTGAATTATTTACACTCTTGGTGACAAAATCATTGTGTTTAACATACCATTATTTAATTGCTGTTGCTAAATTCTTTCTCACAATTGTCTCATTCTTAGGAAAATTTGATATGAAATGTACATGGTTTTAGTACTGGTGCTAAACTTTTTAATGTAGTAATGATGTGAAAATATATTTCATCTATTACTTTAAGCTAGGAGTGGAAAGAAGTACCCACCCAGAGAGTGGGAACATTTTCCAGACTTTCTCCCGGGGACTATTGTAGATTACAATAATGGGCCTCTCTAAAGCCTTTTCCTTTTACTGAAGCTGTGTACTCTGTGTACACTGTGATGGAACACCATGAAGCAATAGTTCACAGAAGCTATTTTGCCACCTCTCTTTTTTTTTTCCAAGTGGTAAAGGTTGAAACCTCAGATTGTATCATTTCACAGTGCTCTGCTTCTGAACTAAGTTTCCTGAGGAACTGCTTTTCCTTCCCTTTGTAAAGATGTAGAAAGCACATGTGTGCGCTCAAGAGTAGGGCTTCAGATTATTGGATGCTTGGATATTAGTAGGCCAAAATCAACCCATATATCAAAATTTAACTATTCACTGTTTTTGCCATTATGCAAAGCAGGAGTATGCAGCTTTTTGGGTAGAATTTAATTGGTATCCTGGGAGATGCACTCTGAAAAAATGTGAGAACATATCAAAAAGTATAAATGGATTTAATGTCAATTTAAACTTAATTTACAATTATATTAAATACTGTAAATACAGTTGGTTATTCCCCAATTAATTAATAGTTTTCTTTAAAAAGTATTAGTATTGATTGAAAATTACAATTTGGCATCAGGTTTCAAGGATCTTTGCATGATTATCTCCAGAGTTTGGGACTATGTATTTTATAAAACAGAAGTCTCCAAACTTGGCAACTTTTAAGACTTGTGGACTTCAACTCCTAGAATAGCTGGCTGAGGAATTCTGGGAGTCCACAAGTCTTAAAGTTGCCAAGTTTGGGCATCCAGTATAAAATCTCAGATAAGTGACCTAGAATAGGGATGTGCACAAAATATAAAATAAGTTTCATTCTATGCACAGAACAACCACATTGTGTCATGCAAGGTTTGCTGGAATGTTCTGGACAAGCCACAATTGAGCAGAATTGGAAAATACTCAATCTGGGTTTGGACTGAAAAACATTTTGGAGGCTCTTATTGGACAAGTAGAGTTATACCTTCCTCTTCCAAGTATCTTGTGTTCTGGCCCATTGTTTCCAGTGTTCTTCCCATCGTCCTCCTGACTTCTTTGCTGCCATTGTAACCCTTGACAGCATATTCCACCTGCCTAACTGCACTTCCTCTCTTTTTCCCTTTGGCCACAACACCCTTGGCTTGGCATACTTTGCCAACCTTTTGCTTTTTTGGTCTCAATTTCCTCTTAGCTACTGACACAAATCTGCCCACAGCATACACCTCTCAAGTCCGTGTTCAGACAAAATGTGTGGCAGATCCATGCACAGATGGAATCTAGAGGTGCATAAAATGTTTGCCCTATTTTAAGTTGAAATTGCTTGAACTTGAAAGAATTACTTGGGGTCCAGAAGAAGTTGTTTTGGTTTACACTTAACATGCACAATTGTCATTTCCAGTTGTCACAGAAGGTAGTATTTGATGTGTTCTCTCCTACCCATTGCCAGTAGCCTATGGAGTGCTAGAAAATTTCATCCCCCCCCCTTTTTTTTTCCAAATGTGCATATCAAACGTACAAAAATATTCCAGATACTCTATCTAAAGTGTCATCAAAAATTATTGATGTCCACTTCTCATTTTCATGCACATCTCAAAGAGGTGCTGAACCTTTGAACACTTTTTGAGCAGTTTCTTCCCCCCCCCTTTTTTTTTTTTTTTTGAACAGTTTGGAGACTGGGGATGATTGAGATAAAATGGGATTTAAATCCAACAAAAT